TCCAGTGTCTATCATTTCATTCAGGGCAGGGCCTAGGCCCTCCCCCAAGAGTCCAAGCTCAGAGAGCCTCCCTCATTGTGGGATGGGCACCCAAAGTCCATTTGTATGCCAGGGATAAATACTGATCTACTACCCAAGGCCCCATAGATTGCCTAGACCTCCTCACTGACACCCACATTCAGGGGGTCTGGATCAGTCCCATGCTGGCCTCCCAGCCATCAGTCTGGGGACCAAGAGCTCCCTTTGTTCAGATCAGCTGTTTCTCTGGGTTAAACAAGCCCAGTCTTGACCCCTATGCTCATCACTCCTCCCTCTCTGTCACTGGGTTCCAGGAGTTCAGTTCAGTGTTTAGCTGTGGGTGTCTGCCTCTGCTTCCATCAGCCACTGGATGAAGGTTCTGGGATGGCATATAAAGAAGTATTGAACTCATTATCAGGGAGGGCATTTAAGGTAATCTCTCCACTATTGCTTAGTTTGCCAGTTGGTGTCATCCTTGTAGATGTCTGGAAATCGACTGTGGCAACTCTTATAAAGGAAAACATTTAATTAGGACTGGTTTATAGTTTCAGAGGTTTAGTCCATTGTCATGGAAGGACATTTCAGCATGCAGGCAGACATGGTGCTGTAGAAGGAACTGGGAGTTCTACATCTTGATCTGCAGGCAACAGGAAGTGAACTGAGACGCTAGGCAAGTCTTGAGCATATATAAGACCTCAAAGATCATCTCCATGGTGACATATTTCCTCTAACAAAGCCACACCTCCTAACTGTGCCACTCCCTATGACCTTATGGGTGCAATTACATTCAGACCACCACAGGGACTCAGACTGTCACACTGGCTTTCACATGGGTCCTGGGGATCTGAACGCAACAACTCAGCCTTATGTGACAGGTACTTCAGTGACTGACACCTCCCTAGCCCCAGAGTTTTTAACGTTACAAACTATAATTAGCCCATGTAGTGGTGACGCCTGTAATCCCAGCACTTGGGAGGTAGAGGTAGGGGGATCAGTCAGTCAAGACCAGCCTCTGCTATATAGTGAATTTGAGGTTGGCTGGAGCTACATGAGACTCTGTCTCAGAAAAGAAAACAGAAAGAATTTAGAAGTGCAACTGAAGCTGGGCGTTGGTGGCGCACGCCTTTAATCCCAGCACTTGGGAGGCAGAGGCAGGTGGATTTCTGTGAGTTTGAGGCCAGCCTGGTCTACAGAGGGAGTTCCAAAGCAATACAGAGAAACCCTGTCTCAAAAAAACAAAAAACCAAGCCAAACCAAAACAAAAGAAAAAGAAAAGAAAAAGAATTGCCAACTGAGTCTGCCCCAGCATGTAAGTGCTCTAAGGATGGAGGCCAAGTCTTACTTATCTTTGCCCCTCCTCCCCTGTCCCTCCCCTCAGGAGGCACTTTAGTGAATATCTAGAAAATGCTCTAGAAGAGTTGTGTGCTAGCTAACGCCACTGCGTGAGCACACCTGCTATGGGAAGAACTCCGTCTGCCACGTGGCCGCAGTTTCTCCACACCGCTTCGGGTACCGCTCGGTCCCTGGCTAGCAGCCTCCTCCCTTGCCTGTTAGAGTTGTCTTCTGTTCGTTTCAGCCTGCACACCCTGCTGTTGGTGTCACTCACGCTCCGCCCCCTCTCCCATTCCCTGTCTGCAGACCCAGTTCTGGTCAGTGTCCAGAAAGCCCAATCGCACTGTTGCCTGTTGCTAACATTTTAAAAACGTGTCTACCGAAACCTTTCCCTTAGCTTGTGCCGTGCGACTCAGTTTCCACGCCACCCTCCTCTGCTTGATGTTCTGCAGATGTCTTGCTCATGTCCTTCAGGTCCCGCTGTAGCTGACAAGCCACGGCCCTGATTGTCCTCTAAGTTACAGGTCTGCCTCTCTGCCTCCCTTGCTTGCAAACCTGCAGGGTCATCTGTGGGCTGCCGCCTGCTCTCCTGGGGTTGGTTTAAGGTGTATTTGGGGGAGGAGAGTACTAACTGCTCTTACAGAAGACCCGGGTTCAGTTCCCATCATCCACAGTAGCGCCTCACAGCGACCTCTGACTCCAGCTCCAGGGGCTCGGATGTTCCCTCCATGCCTGTGTGGCTCCTTCATGTCTGTGTACCATTCACACGCAGGCATGCACGCACATGTGCACACACACACACACACAGTAGTATTTAAAGGGTTATTTTTGTCTTACGTATATGAGTCTTTCATGCATGTATGAATGTGTACATGTGTGCGCAGTGTCTGAGGCCAGAGAGAACATTAGATCCCCTAGAACTGGAGTTACAGGTGGTAAAATCAGCAGCAGAGTCATCGTGAAGGTTGAGAGTGTTAGTTTTTAGTGTGACACTCTGGCCCTCCCATGTTTCTGGGGTCTTGGTGTTCTGGGCCCTTTCCTCCTGAGAGGTCTTCAGCTGGCTTCCCCTTCACAGCCAGTGAAACCCACTCTCCAGTGAGGCCCACACTAGCCCTTGCTGGGAAGGAGCTCTTAGCTGCCTTTCTCCACCTCGATTCTGAGCTTGAACCCCACCTCATACCTGGCAACTGTCTTGGGTCCAGCGAACTCTGAGACCCAAGGGTTTGGATAGAGTTTCCTTTATTTTTGCTACATCTCTTTTGCACAGGCTTAATCTCATTAGTTTCCACGTTCTCTGCCCTACCCCATTCCTGACCCTTGCAGTTCAGGCTGCAGGACGGTCACAGATCAGTGTGTGGAAACAGCTACAAATTTTCTGCTTCTGGAACTTCACCAGGTAGTATGGGAACTGAGTTTGATACTGAGTTTTTGTGGGAAATGAAGTTCACCTCGTGTAACCTTCAGGCATTGTTTCACATTGATAGTGACCTTCCTGATGCCCGGCTTTTCACGTTAATATTTAATCTTGCTGACGGTGTGATAACATGTCTGCAGAATATCTTGCTCTACTTACTGCTAATAAGAGGCGTTAACCCTGCTCTTTGTTTTCAAGGCAGCTACGATCAGCTGGTGGGTCGCCTTGGTTGCATTGTGAGACTAGGTTTTTTTCCTTGTTAGGATGTGCCTGGAAATTCCCCCCTGACTTGGTGAAACTGAGCCCCACCAAGTTCCCAAGCAGTGGATAGATAGCAGCTAGACCCTTCCCTGTTATTTCTGCCTCAGCTGGTTTCCCTGGGGTCTCTATACGCATGTTCAGGGATCGGTCGAAGGTATTGGAAGGGAGTTTACACTAAAGTGTTGGGATTATCCCCATGATTTATTGCTCGAGATTTCCCTCCTCAGATGCTAGCTAATCTGACATCTCTAATCAGTAAAACCAAGTTTTCTTGTGCTTCCTAGACTGGGAGTGGGGGCCTAGGGGCAGGTGGGGCTGTGTAAGAGTAGTCCCGTTAATTGAATTTTCTTGCTGATAAGGTTGGGTCACTTTAGATTCTTGCTACTTTTGAAAAGCAATTTCCAGTGTTTTAAAATAAAGTTTTCCTTGTACTTTTTAGAAGTTATGATAGTTCTGAGCCTCCTGCTGGGGCGGTCTTCTTGTTTTTATTGTAGTATAATGCTTTATTTGTGTATTTATTTTTGTTGTTTTGAGCGGTCTCACTGTCCCCTGGCTGTTCTGGGACTCACAGTGACACGGCTGCCTCTGGCTCCTGAGTGCGGGGATCAAGGGCATGTGCTCCTGTGGGCTGCCATGCTAGCCTCCACCTGCACTGTCTCCCCCCCCCCCCAGCTAGTGTTGCGTTATAGACTGACCTCAAAACCCAGAGGCTTCAGGTGCCTTTGTCTACTCGCTAGGTTCTGTGGTGGAGACTTTGGAAAGGGCCCAGCCAAGACGGTGTATCTCTGCTCTGTGTGCCTGGCACCTCACCTGGGAAGGCTCAGAGCACTGGGTGGGTGACACGGCCTAGGACAGCTCACCTGATGGCAGGGACTCCACTGGAACTGGTTTCCTCACAGCTTTTCCGTGTCTTAGAGAACCAGGGGGAAGCTGCATTGCCTGCTGTGACCTAATCTCAGAGGTAGTGGTGTAATGCAGAGGTTACATAGCATTCCTTCTTCCGTTTTGATCAGCCTCTGTTGCCTCAAATTCAAGGGGTAGGACACATTCTCCTCTGAATGAAAGACGTGTCAAAACATTTCCAGATGACCGTTTTGTTTTTGTTTTGTGGTGCTGGTGATCAAACCGAGGTTCCCTGCTTTCCTATTCTCTGTGGCTGGGTGCTGCCCCAACACCTGCGGGTGCCAAAAACCAAAATGATCGCTTAAAGCCCTGCAGCACCCCCTGGTGTCCAAGTACAGTCCTACATACATCTCAATAGGTTTTGTTTTGCTTTGGGATTTATTTGTTTCGTTTTTCCCAGATAGGATTTCTCTGTGTAGCCCTGGCTGTCCTGGAATTTGCTCTGTAGACCAGTACAGCCTTGAACTCAAGAGACCCACCTGCCTCTTCCTCCCGAGTGCTGGGATTTAAGGTGTGTGCCACCACCACCAGGACAATAGGTACTTCTTGAAGTGTAGTTTTTCATAATTATAGTAGATAAGAACTTAAGTTAATTTAGGATTGAAACTCTAATAAAGCAATACAATAATTTATTTATTTATTATTTATTTATTTGGGACAAGGTCTCACTATGTAGCCCTGGCTAGTCTACAACTTGCTGTGTACACCAAGCTGGTCTGGAACTCACAGAAATCTTCCTGTTCTGACATTAAAAGGGTGCACCAGTATACCCAGCTAGGGATATATTACTTCTTGAATGCATTTTCTGGGACTGGAGAGGTGGCTCAATGATTAAGGGCTTATGTTGCTCTTCTGAAGGACCCAAGTTTGGTTCCAAGCACCCATGCCAGGTGGCAGACCATTGTAATTCCAGCTCCAAAAGACCTTACCTCCTTCTGGCATCTGTGGGTATCTGGCATCTCTCTCTCTCTCTCTCTCTCTCTCTCTCTCTCTCTCTCTCTCTCTCTCTCTCTCTCTCTCGCGCGCACACACACACACACACACACACACACTTAAATGAAAGCGAGTAGTGTTTAGAAAGTATTTAACTTGATTATTTTTTGTCTTGCAGGAAGCATCATTTAATGACAAATCCATGCTCACAGGGTAAAGATGGCAGGCTTCCTGGATAACTTCCGATGGCCAGAGTGTGAGTGTGTCGACTGGAGTGAGAGAAGGAACGCCGTGGCCTCCGTGGTTGCAGGCATACTGGTGAGTGAGATAGGCGGATGGGTGGCATTACGCCTTTGCATTCATCTTCGAAGTTAATGCCATTGTCCTTAAATGGTAACAGCCCTCCAGAACGGTTTCATTGCCCTGCTGCTGGGGGTAGGTAATGTTGTTACATAGCCTGGTAAGGTTTCGTTTTGTGTTTGGAGGTGGGGTATCGTGTAGTCCAGGCCTGCGGGCACTACTGTCTGTCCTTCTGCTCTGCCTGGAAACGGTGGGGCTGCAGGGGTTTGGTGCTCCCGTAGGCTTCATGCAGAGCTGGGGTTGATGTGCACGAGGCGAGGCGAGCCCCATACCAGCCAAGCTACAGCCCAGCCCCAGAGGCGTGGGTTATTTCACTTTGAGTTACAGCCAGCCCCACAGGCGTGGGTTATTTCACTTTGAGGATGAGTTAGACTTGGTACCCTCTCTTCAGCTGCAGCGTTTGTCAGCCTCAGAATTTGATGTCACTCAGGGTTACTGACTAGATTAGCTGTGTAGACAGCAGTGATAGCTTACCCTTCGTAAGAACTGAAGCCTCAACCTGAGACCCAGAAACAAGCGTGGGCTTGCTTGCCTACCTTTCTGTTTTGTTTTACTTTTTTTTTTAATAACGGAAAATATCGAACTTTAAAAGAAAGTAGTTGTGGGTAGAGGGGAGGTAAAGAGGGCTGGGAGGAGAGGAGGAGGGGAAATGTTGGTCAGGGTTTAAAATAAAAGATAAACACCACCACCAACAAAGTAGTAGTGACACCTCTCACTTGCATACCTGTCGTCTCGCCTCCCAAATCTTTGGTTCCGTTTCTTTATTTGGGGACAGGGTCTATAGCTGAGGACACGCCTAGCTCCTAGTCCTGCCTCTGCCTCCCGAATACTGGGGTTGCAGATGGGAGCCACCAAACCCAGCTTGTTTTCTTTTGTTATTGTTTTGTAAGTCATGAGCCGAGCAGTCTTACTTTATATTCTGTGAACCATTTCCTGCCTCTGAGGTAGAATAAGTAGAAAGACCAATTACTAGACACTGATTTACTGATGTATTCAGTAATGTACTCAAAGCCCTGCTTGTTCTGCCCATTTGCCAAGCATGACTCACTTGCCACCTGGAACAGGATGACCTGGAGAAGCAGCTGAGAAATGGGCGTTGCCCTTAACAGCCTCCTCACTGCCATGTGGGCTTCTGTAAGATCCTGCTTGCTGGCTCGCCGCCCACCTTGTGGTTTTAGAGTATAAAGTGAGAATACAACTTGAACCTGGGATCGAGACCTTTCCAGAGCTGTCCTGGCTTCTGTCCGTCTGTGGTATCTCCTGTTCTGGCTTCCATCCATCCGTAACATCTCTTTGCTGCTATCATTGGTGTCAGAGTGCTTCTTCAAGAAAGACTCCTGCAACACCTCTCCTGCATTAACAAAACAAGTTTCAGCATCTTTTGTATTTTTGTAATATGTTTATCCCCCTCCCCTGCTTGTTTTGGAGGCAGGGTCTTGGTTATAGCCTAGGCTGGTCTCAAATTTGATGTCCTCTTGCTTCTGCCTCCCAAGTGTTGGGGTTACAAGCATATACACCTTGCCTAGCGCTCTCTCTCTCTCTCTCTCTCTCTCTCTCTCTCTCTCTCTCTCTCTCTCTCTCTCTCTCTCTCTCTCTCTGCCACCACCACCCCTAGAGAGGCCAGGTTTTACTTAATAAAAGAATTTGGGAGAGGCAGTGGTGGCGCACGCCTTTAATACCAGCACTCAGGAGGCAGAGGCAGGCAGATCTCTGTGAGTTCCAGACCAGCCTGGTCTTCAAGACCTAGTTCCAGGACAGGCTACAAAGCCACAGAGAAACCCTGTCTCGAAAAGCAACAACAACAGAAAAAGAGTTTGAACTTTGTTGATTGTATAGTCAAAGGTGCTTGAGTTGTTGACCTGAGATCAATATACCTAATATACCTGCATGTTAGTCTTAGGTTCTGACAGAATGACTTGCCTGGTGTTGTTGCTGTCAGGACTCCACTGGTGTGCAGACACTTCTGTGGGGGGTGGGGAGAGTTTGGAGCCTTTCCATAGGTGTCTTAAAATGAATTTTGAGCTCTCTTAAGCACTAAGATTATGTAATTCTCTTGTTTTTACAGTTTAGCAAGGGCTCTCACACCTTTCCTTAATTTCTCTGTTTAGGTGTGCTTAGCTTGGTTGACATGGAAACCTTACGTTCTCTATACTCATGTCCAGTCAGCTACAGGGTACTTAGTTAAATCATGTGAGCTAAAGCAATAGCAGGCTTCTTACACAAGTCTGCTGGTCGGTGAGCAGCCCAGCAGTGCCTTCCACGGGGCAGAGCTGCAGTGTGAGAGGCTGGTGAGACCCGCAGGAGCCAGAGAGAGCTGGCTGCTTATGGAGGCTGCCGAGTCCCGACACGGAGGGAGGAAACAAGCCACTCCCCATGAGTCTCCTCCTCCTCAGCTTTGACTGAGTAACTCACATCATCACATGTAAAGAAGGCCGTCTGTGGGACCTTGCAGAGGAGAGCAGTATTTATTCCTGGCACACAGATGGACTCTGGGAGCCCATTCCACGTGGAGGGATGCTCTCTCAGCCTGGACACTTAGGGGAGGACCTAGGCCCTGCCTGGGATGATGTGACAGACTCTGAAAATCCCTGATGGAAGCCCCTGCCCTCCCTGGGGAGCCGAGGGGGATGGAGTGGGGGCGAGGAGTTGGGAGGATTGGGGGAGGGAGAGGGAGGAGGGGGGAGAGAACTGAGGGTGACATGTGTAAAAGTTAAAAGAAGGAGTAGACCAAGGATGCCCATTTTTGTAACTAGCACCCCAAACACAAAAGTAGAAGTACTTTGCTTCACGTATACTTTGGGGAGGTGCGGCTGTAGAGTGGTGCTGTGAGTTTAACGTCCTGTGGTCTTGGGCTCTTTCTCAGTTTTTTACAGGTTGGTGGATAATGATCGATGCTGCTGTGGTCTATCCTAAACCTGAGCAGTTGAATCACGCTTTTCACACATGTGGTGTGTTTTCCACACTGGCTTTCTTCATGTAAGTGTGAAATGGTTTTGAATTCAGAATTGCCTTTTGAAAAAAATAGTCTTCCTTAACCTTTAATGTTTTTTTTAAAGAACTTCTAAATTTTATTGATGGATTCTCTTTTTTTCTACTCTTTTTGAAGTATTTGTTTATATTTTTATGTATGAGTACTCTGACTGCATGTATCCCTGGAGGCCAGAAGAGGGTGCCAGATCACATTACAGATGGTTGTGAGCCACCATGTGGTTGCTGGGAATTGAACTCAGGTCTTCTGGAAGACCTCTTAACCTCTGAGCCATCTCCAGCCCTCATGGATTCTTCTTTAACACAATGAATTTACTCCCTCCCCCGCTTTTTTCAAGACAGGGCTTATCTATATTACAGTCCTAACTGTTTTAGAACTCACTTTGTAGACCAGGCTGGCCTCGAACTCACTGAAATCTGCCTGCCTCTGTTCCCCTAGTGCTGGGATTAAAGGTGTGTCCTACTACACCTGGCCTAACAGTTTTATTTTATTCATGTGTTTGGTTATTGACTCGTTTACCTTGAGATAGCGTCTTTCTATGTAGCCCTACTAGAACTTGACATGTAGACCAGAAAGGTGATATATAAAGGGTAAAGCTGCCTGCTTTCCAGTCAGGCGACGGTAAGCCACGCCTTCTAATAGCACACCTGCTCTCCGTCTCAGTTTACCCACAGCCGTGTGCACACAGAATGTGCTTTGACACGAGGCTGCACCCTAGCTCCCGCCTAGTGTCTTTAATAATCTTTACATTCTTTTATTTCACTTTATGTGTACAGAGAGGCATTTGCCCCTTGTATCTAGGTATGTCACGTGTGTGCAGCACCTATGGAGGCCAGAAGGGGGCACTGGACTCTCTGGAATTGGAGTTACAGATGGTTGCTGGGATCAAACCTAATCTTTATCCAGTGCTCTTAACCACTGAGCCATCTCCAGCCCCACCTGTTTATTCTTTATTCTAATGAAAACTTTAAAATGGGATAACTAACACTGAATCATCTGTATATACATGTTTAAAATAGGTAATCCCATGTTTGGGGGACAAAGCAGGTGGATAGGTCTCTGTGAATTGAGGCCAGCTTGGTCTGTGTAACAGGGCTGCAATAGTGGACTCCTGTCTCAAAAGAAGAGGAGGGGGGAGGAGGTTAGCTGCTGTTTCACTGTCTCTGGGACAGGTGAAAGGCTAATGTGTTTTCCGGGTGTGCTTTAGGGGAAACAAAAAGAATAATATTTCTATGCATGTGGATCTCTGTTATATTAACTACTTAACTGTCAGAATCTTGGCTCTAGTTAGGAAATGCTGTGTTTCTCTTGTAAAGGGTGTGCAGATATCTGTGTGTATGTCGCTGACCTGAGCTCATTGGCTGATTGTGTGTTACTCTAGGATAAACGCTGTATCCAACGCGCAAGTGAGAGGGGACGGTTATGAGAGCGGCTGCCTAGGAAGAACAGGTGAGGGCAGGGAGGAGCCAGAGCCTCCCCGGAGTGTCCCGGCTCCAGTTCTGCCTTACCTGGTGCTCGGAGACCAGAAGATGTTAGAGTCCCTCTGCAAGGGCGGCCAGTGCTCCTAACGGCGGATCCGTCTCTCTAGCCCTGCACCTTAGTTTTTAAGATAGGGTTTCTCATTAGTCCTGGGGGTTCATCGATTTGGTTGATAGTGGGCTCCAGGGATCTGCCTGTTTCCACCTACCCCGGGCTGGGGCACACGAGTGTCCACCTACCCCGGGCTGGGGCACACGTGTGCACTCTTGCTGTTTGGTTATTATGTGGGGTTGGAGATCTGCAAACAGGTGTCTTGTTTGTGCAGCAAGCACTCTGCTGCTGAGCCATTTCCCAGCCCATGGAATGGTTCCACCAACACAGGGCGAGTCTCCATCTGAGTTAGCAGTCTAGAAAGACCCGTATTGATGCCCATGTGTGTGTGATGCATTTCCAGGGAGATTGTCAGTCTCGTCAGACTGACAGTCAAGGTTGACCATCACTCCTGTTTCTAAAAACGGTTGGCTCCTCTTGAACGTCCAGATAATTGTCACTGAGGCTCTACACACCCATAACTGGAGACACAGACACTGTGCCCTTGAACTCAGAGCGAAGGGCAGGTTGCCTTCCTTAGAGCCGTAGAGCAATTGGACTGTTACTAATGACGGCTGCTGTGTAATGGTTGGGTGTGCTATTAGAAGCACACTGACTCAGAGGGACCCTGATGGAAAGCCACTCCCGTCTGCTGGAGGTGGTTGTCTGATGCAGCAGTTACTTAATTACGTGCACGGCAGGTGGCCTATCAGTTGTGGTTTACTAAGCCAACTTAGTGACGTAATTGTCAGTGTCACTTGCCTAACTTGCTCAGACATTAGTTTCTCTAGAAGTAAAGAAGTAACTTTTCTTCTTTTCCCCTTTCCAAGTTGTCTAGCCCTTTTAGCTCCTGTGTTGTGTGTGCGTGTGTGTGTGTGCGCATGTGTGCGTGTGTTCGTGTGTGTATGTATGTGTGTGTATGTGTGTGAATATGATGCATGTGTGTATGATGCTTATGTGTGTATGTGTGTGAGTATGATGCATGTGTGTGCATGTGTGTGTATGATGCGTGTGTGTGTATATGTGTGTGAGTATGATGCATGTGTGTGCATGTGTGTGTATGATGCATGTGTGTGCGTGTGCATGTGTGTGAGTATGATGCATGTGTGTGCATGTGTGTGTATGATGCGTGTGTGTGTGTGTGTGTGTGTGTGTGTGTTTAATCTTCATGAGGCTAGGTGTCGTACCAGGAGTGCACATGACGCACACTAACGCATCTGAGTCCTGCCCGTCTGTGAGGCAGGATGGAGCTGTGAGAGTGAGCAGCGTCTGGAAGCCTCTTCTTCACACAGGTGCTCGAGTCTGGCTCTTCATTGGTTTCATGCTGATGTTCGGGTCACTGATCGCCTCCATGTGGATTCTTTTTGGTGCATATGTTACTCAGAGTAAGTGTGCATTTCTCCTTTATGTTACAGGTGGGTTTTATGTTCAGCTTGGTCTGTTTGGTCCATTTGGAGTAAACATAACTGCAATTATTGAATTAGGTTAAATTCTTCCTCTGTGTGAAGACCCACTAATTAATAGAACCTGTCTTTGCGAGTGAGCTAGCCCATAGGAAATCACAGCCCCTAACCATTCCAGCCCTCATAGCTGTCTCTAGAGTTTCTGATGCCTTCCCTTGGGCAGCTGAGTTCTGGGGTCACAGTGAGAAACGCTTTCAGGTCTGTTGTATCCATCCCCTCACACCCAGCATACAGAGAGTCAGACTTCTGTTTCCTAGTTTGCAGTGAACCTGATTGGGATGGGCATATGGCTCATTGCGGTCTTTATCACCTTTATTCTAGGTATTCAAAGTGTATTGCAGGAGTGGACATGAGTGACATGTATTTGCCTTTGGGATGGCCGGCTGATACCATTCATTTTTAGTTTGTCTCCAGCTGAGCTAGAACTCAATAGAAAGACAGTGGTAGGCAATGGCTTCTGCTTGTGTCCTGTTCTCTCGTGAAAACGGGAGTAAGCCAGCATCCCGTTAGGGTGGGAGCCTTCGTAAGGGTTGTGTTTGCTCCTGGGTCTTAATCTTTAAAAAACTTCACAGTGAGAAACCTCTCAGTTACTGTCTCTTCTGATTTACCAGCGGTGCCCATTCCGTAAATTTCTTTACTTAGCAAGTGACTGTGCTTTAATTTCAGGGGCTATTTCTGACATATTTCAAATTTCTCTATAAGACTTTTTTGGAACTATTAATATTTATAATAGCAGCTACCATTTATGTGTATATTGAACATCTCTAATCTGAAAATTTGAAATCCAAAATGCTCCGAAATTGGAAACAGAAATTCTGAGTTCTGACATGATAGCACAGGTACTGGGGTCAGCCCTTGACCTTGTGTGAGAGGTTGCAGTCAGAACAGGTGTACTAACTCTCAGCACCCAGGACACTGAGGCAGGAGGATCTCTGTGACAAATAATATAAAGACCCAGTGACAGATATTGCGGTTCAACATGAAGATCAGAGAAGCAAAGCATCCAGTTACTAGCTCTCGCCTCTCCCTCAGACTGAAATGGCCACCCTGGCCCCACAACTCCTCAGAGAGCAGTGCAGACTGCACTCCCTCACCTCCTTAGTGCTGGATTAAAGGCCAGTGATCCCAAGTGCTGAGATCACTTTTGTGTGCCTGGATCAGTTTTGTGTAGTTCAAGGTCACCTTGAACTAACAGAGATCCCCCTGCCTCTGTCTCCTGAGTCCTGGGATTAAAGGTGTGTGCCACCACTGCCTGGCCTCTATGGCTAGCTAGTATGGCTGCTGGGATTACAGGTGTGTGCCACCACTGCCTGGCTCTGTGACTGTGGCTAGCTTGGCATTTTGATCCCCAGTGGCTTTACTAGATCATAAACAATACATCATCACAGATCTCTTCAGTTCGAGGCCCAAGTTCCAGGTGAACCAGAGCTACATAGAGAAACCCTGTCTCCAAAAATCAAAACAAACCAAAACAAAAAATCTACAACAGGAATACTAAAAATATTTTCTAAAATCACCTTCAAACTGCTTGTGAAAGTTTACATTCAACATAACTGAGCTTCATGTTGGGTCCCAACTGAACACAAGAGTTCTTCCTATTCCCAAGATGTGCATAGGCAAGTGATGCAAACTAGAAACTGAAATCTGACTCCAAGCACTTTAGATGAGGCATCTGCCTCTGGGGTCACTTAGTGGTCCAAGTACTGTTGCAGACATTTGCCTTCCACTCCCTGTGGTGGAGGCACAGAAGAGAAGATTAAGACACTGAGGTGTAGTGTCAAGGCGGTGCGTTTAGTCAGGGACAGAATTAGGATCCAACCCCGAGGACTGAGTTCAGACTTGGAACTCTGCACCCAACCTGCTGTTGTGTTCTTTCTGTGCTCTCAGAGGCTGGAAATGTAAACAGGGTTCTTTATCATGACCATAGTTAGTTTACCACAACTCACATCTTCCTGTGGATGTGTTCGCTCATTCCTTCAGTCAGGAATCACTCATGTTCTGATGGTGTCACACATGAGCTCAGGAATGTAGCCAACCTTTTAAATTCTGTGTTGGCCTTACCGGGCAACGGTGCCCTGCTTTCTTGCCACTGGGTTGGAGGGTTGTTTGTTGTTTGTTTTTTTTTTTTCCGAGACAGGGTTTCTCTGTATTGTTTTGGAGGCTGTCGGTCCAGCCTGGCCTCAACTCACAGAGATCCGCCTGCCTCTGCCTCCCGAGTGCTGGGATTAAAGGCGTGCGCCACCACTGCCCGGCTGAGTTCATTGACATTTATCTAGAGCAAAAGTAGTCTTTTTGTTTGTTTATTTTGGTTTTTGTTTTTCCAGACAGGGTTTCTCTGTGTGTAACTTTGGAGGCTGTACTGGAACTCTGGAGACCAGCCTGGCCTCAAACTCACAGAAATCCACCTGCCTCTGCCTCCCGAGTGCTGGGACTAAAGGCGTGCGCCACCACCGCCATCATGATCTTTTATAGAGTTGCTGTGTAAATGTCCTGTGCTCTGACACACAGAGCGCGTCCCTCTGAGTGGCATGGGCTGCGCCACTGCTGTCTCTCCTAATGTGCCTTGTTTTCTGTGCAGATGTTGATGTCTATCCCGGACTAGCTGTCTTCTTTCAAAACGCTCTTATATTTTTTAGGTACGTTGTCTCATTTCCTTTGCTTTCTTTTATTTTTTAAGAGATATTTATTTTTATCTTGTGTGCATGCATGAGGAGACCTGAAGAGGGCAGCAGATCTCCAGCAACTGGAAATTGTGGGTGGGTGAGCTACCCAGTGTGGATGCTGGGAGCTGAATCCTGGTCCTCTGCAAGGGCAGCCAGGGGTTCTAACTGTTGAGCCGTCTCTCCAGCTGCAAGTTGCCTAATTTCTCAGAGAGCCTTTTACCCAGGGGTCCTACTGTGTGCTGAGACCTGTTCATCTGGATGCTTCTATGTTGCCTTTAGTCCCTGCCTCTGCTTAAGTGTCACGTGGTGTTCTCATCTCATAGGATACACTCAGAGTAAATGTAGAGCAGGAACTGAAATCCTGACTGTGGCTTCCACAGCCCCTGCTTTGCTTAAAAAAGTCATGCACATTTATGAGACAGAAAGATCCAGGGCCTGGAGGCGCCCTCCTTCAATCCCAGTACTCAGGAGGCCGAGGCAGGAAATCTGTGAGTTTGAGGCCAGGCTGGTCTACAGAGTGAGTTCAACACAGAAGATCTTTGTTATTGGCCACTAATAACAATATGATTATGGTGTGATGCAGTTTCTTATGCTTGGGGTTCATTGCATTAAAATAGCAGTTTATGCATTATATAAAATTCAGACTTTTTAAACAGTTACTTGTTATGTATACATTGTTCTGTCTGCATGTTTGCCTGCACACCAGAAGAGGGCGCCAGATCTTATTATGAACAGTTCTGAGCCACCATGTGGTTGCTGGGAATTGAACTCAGGACCTCTGGAAGAGCAGCCAGTGCTCTTAACCTCTGAGCCATCTCTCCAGCATCCAAATTGAGACTTTAAACTAGTATTTCTTTGGCTGTTTTTCTGTCCATCTTGTCTTCCTTAAGTTCCAGGTATGGTAACGCTAGGCGGTGGAGATGGCTGCTGCTGGGGCTTCATTGTCCTCTTCTCCTTCCTCCCTCCTGCTGCCCCTCCCTCTTTATCCCCCTGCCTCTCCTCCCTCCTCCCCACTGCCTCTCCTCCCTCCTCCCCCTCTTCCTCTTTTTCTTCCCTTCTCCCTTCTCTCCTCTTCCTCCCTTCCTGCTTCCCCCTTCTCCTCTGTGTTGCCTAGACTGGCCTTGAGCTCCAGGTTCCCATGGTGCCTGCTCTTCCGTTAGCTGGAGGAGCCATGTGCCTGTGCTTGTGTGTGGTTTCCCATGTCTCCTCTCCGTGCCGTGTGGGAAGTTCCGCGCGCCCTGGCTTGAGGCTCGCTGAGCTGAGGTCTCCAGTGTCCAGGGGGACTGCTCACTGCAGACATGGTTTTCAGTCTCTTGATGGCCTTGCCTAAGGCCTATTATTTCTATCTGTTTTTCACTTTGGGACTTTCCCCCATTTGTAGCTTTGCATGCAGTTGGTTGGGATTGTAGTGTTTGGTACTCTGTTTTGACACGGTGCTTTTGAGTCCAGGTTTCATGTATCTCAGCCTGGCCTCAAGCTCACCAGAGCTGAGGCTGACCGTGAACTCCTGATCCTCCTGCCTCCATCTCCCAGGCGGTGGGCTGGCGGGTCAGACCCTTCTCATCTGTTGCGGTAGACGCCTCTGCCACTCCTCCCAGCATGCTTATATGGTTGCACTTTGGCATGCACTGCTGATGGCCCTCCTTAGGCTCTGTCCCACAGGGAGTGTGCCTGTTCGTTTTGATTCAGCCATATCCCAGCCCTTAGCCGGAGGCCCGGCACAGTCCAGTCTTCAGCCTGCGATCGTTGCTAGGAATGGTCTGCTTTAGGTGTTCTGTTGACCATAGTGCAGATGCAGTTGCTCTCAGAGCTGTAAAGTGGCCTTGTACTCGATTATGCTTCCCACGTAGCGGCTGTCTAGGCATTGTGGGGTATTGTTCTCCCCGGCACCACGGTGCGTGTCCCTCACAGCGCCTCTGATCTGCCTCTGCCACCTGCTCATGTCACCTCACTGCTTTGTCTGTCTCTCTGCAGCACTCTGATCTACAAATTTGGAAGAACTGAAGAGCTCTGGACGTGAGATGGGCTGCCTCTCAGTCACACCTTACCCCGCTCTGTTCTACGTAGATATCTTTATCTCTGGTATAGTTTACACATTGCCAAATGGAGCAGAGTGCGCACGCGGTGTTCTGTTCCGTCACACTTTTATGTCCTAAGTTTTGAATTGCTTTTGCAAAATGTCTGTGTTGATTTTTCATTGATTGGACAACTTAGTATGTACATAATACATGACTTCTCATAATGCCTGATGCTGAGTGTCAGGGTTTTATTCCCGAAACTGATTGGTATGTGTCCTGAGCATTGTCCTGGTGTCTAGGGTATCTGATGTTTGAAAATGTGCAAAATATTCAGCTCTGTGACTCTAGGAAAAGCCCTGGGCTATTAGAGAAGGCATTTCTGCCAGTTGTAATTTATTTTGGTTGGAAACAAGACTTTTCTTAAAGGGAAAATGTTTGTGCTTACGTGTACACTAAAGAACTGGACTTTTTATATGAAGGTTTGAGTGCCCAAAGGACTAGTTTGAAAGCCCCTTTAAAGAGAATTTCTCTAACGTGTCTTTTACTTGACTCTCAGCAAATTGCCATTTTTGAGAGTTAATGTAAAAAGATGGTAGGCAGCTGAGCAGTGTGCTTCCCGTTACCACGCAGCCCAGTGCTCCCCATCTTACTACACAGCTCAGTGCTCCCCATCTTAACATGCAGCTCAGTGCTCCTCATCTTACTACACAGCTCAGTGCTCCCCATCTTAACATGCAGCTCAGTGCTCCTCATCTTACTACACAGCTCAGTGCTCCCCATCTTACAACACAGCTCAGTGCTCCCCATCTTAACATGCAGCTCAGTGCTCCCCATCTTAACATGCAGCTCAGTGCTCCCCATCTTAACATGCAGCTCAGTGCTCCCCATCTTAACATGCAGCTCAGTGCTCCCCATCTTACCATAGCCCAGTGCTCCCCATCTTACCATAGCCCAGTGCTCCCCATCTTACTACACAGCTCAGTGCTCCCCATCTTACTACACAGCCCAGTGCTCCCCATCTTACCATAGCCCAGTGCTCCCCATCTTACTACACAGCCCAGTGCTCCCCATCTTACCATAGCCCAGTCTTCCCCATCTTACTACACAGCTCAGTGCTCCCCATCTTACCACGCAGCTCAATGCTCCCCACCTTACCATGCAGCCCAGTGCTCCGGGTTTTCGTCTTGCACGGCTCAACAGTGTCTGCACACACACTCAGGCGAGTGGCCCTGAGACAGCCGTAGTTCAGACACATGACACAGTCAGTCAAAGATAAAGATGCTTCCCGAAGGAAGGGCGTTATGACCCAGGGAAAGGCAGGCGCGTGACTGTCTTAGTCCTCGACTCCCTGTGAGCGGCCCTCAGGTGGCGCTGTGCAGAGCACATGTGTCGCACACTCAGTGCACACTCCACTCCAGGAGCCCTTCTCCACGTTGAGAGCGGCACCTGCCCCGTGTGTATTTCTGTGGGCCTTGCCTTGGTTGTAAAAATTCTGTTGCACTTTTAACCCCAGAGGATTTTTATAAAGCCTTTTGCTGTAAAACAGTAACGCCATGGTAGCACATGCAGCTTCTGATGCAGCCTTCACTCTCCTCAGCTCTCCTCAGAGGCAGCACAGCAGGAAGCAGCTGCGGATCGCTGCGCCTTCCTCTAGATGCGTCTCGCTGCGTTACTCTCCTGTTGTTCCCTCAGAATGCCTGCTTTGTCTTGCTTTCAGAAAACTACGAAGCTAATCACATGTTTCCATTCTGAGAATCTAATGCAATAAATATTCCCTGTCTCACATCCTATACAGTTAGGTGTTCTGGGAAAATGACCCATGAAACCTGCTCTCTGTTCATTCTTCATTGTCCAAGTTAACTTATCCAAGAGGCATTCATAAACAAGAAGATAAATGACTACAGGTCTATGAAGGGCAGCCCTGAGGACCAACTGAAGATGCTGGTGGCTTCTTTTCTATTCGTGATTCTATCCATGACGAGACAGATGGTGTTAGTGCCCTCCCACAGGTATTATGAGTCCGTAGCATCCTTGGTGATCACCGAAAATACACCTGGTTCTCTTAATAAAGGTCTCACTTGTTATACTCAAGACTGTTGCATCTGAGTCTTCTGTATGTGGGCCATGTTGTCAGAGTACTGTATAGGCCATTCTGAGAGCCTCACTGTGTTATATTTTTGGTTGTTTCAAGACGGGGGTCTCACTACCTCTGGCTTCCCTGGAACTCAAAATGGTCTTAAACTCAAAGAGATCTGCCACCTCTGCCTCCCAAGTGCCGAACTAAAGACATGGGCCACCACACACAGTCTGTGTTACTGTGCGCACGTATGTATGCACGTGTTGCATGTGTGCAGAGGCCAGAGACAAGCCTCAGACTGCCTCAGAACTGTCCACCTTGGTTTTGACCTGGGGACCACAGATTAGATTGGGCTGACTGCCCAGTGAGAGAGAACCCGACCGTCCCTGCCTCCGAACACTGGGGTTGCAGGTGCCGTCCATTGTGCTTCGGTTTACTTGGGGTCTGTGGACCAAACTCAGGTCCTCAGGCTTGCCTGGCAGGCTCCTTAGCAACTGCGCTATCTCCTTGAGCCTCCCGATGGAGTAGCTTTCCTGTTGCCACCGATGAAGACACACACGGGACACCAGTATGTGCAAACATACTGGATTTTCAAGATTGAAAGATGATGGCATGAAACCACATAGCTTGGTCCCTTGAGTAGGAAACTCAAGTGTTTGTAGTAGACAGGTTGGATTTGCATTCTCTGCGTTTTTCCCTCCTGGAAGAAATATTCCAGTCATGATGTCAATTTAGGATCACTTAAAATATATTCACTATTACTTTATTTTATGTGTATAAGTGTTTTCCTGCATGGATGTATGTGCACCTGGTACCAGAAGAGGCCAGAGAGTAGCGTCAGATTTAACCATGTCATAGGAAACAGGCTCTAACACTCCCGAACACTCGAGTATTCTGAGTAAAATTGTTAAGGTTTGAGCTTCTTTTAGTATTATTTGTGTGTGTGTATGTGTGTCTTGTCACTCTGTATCTGTGTGTGTCTGTGTGTGTGTCTCTGTGTGTGTCTTGTCACTCTGTATCTGTGTGTGTCTGTGTGTGTCTTGTCACTATATGTATGTGTGTCTGTCTATAAGTCTGTATGTATGTCTCCATGTGTGTGTCTTGTCATTCTGAGTGTGTGTGTGTCTATGTAGATGAGAGGATTACTTGTGGCAGTTAGTTCTCACTACATCCTGGGTCACTGCACAAGAATCTTTTGCACCACTCTGTTAGAGGTTTTCCTTCTGTAAGGAAAACAGGAATTGACAGCTGCTGTGATTGACAGGCTAGTTGTTTTCTGAGAATTGTTAAAGGAAACCGGACACATTGATTTCACTGTAGAATCTTTTTTTTACCTTAAGGAAAATTGTGACACAGTTTTTCTTTTTACAGCTCATCCCTGTCTTCTTAGAAATAGTTTTTTGTTTGTTTGTTTTGCTACAGGGTTTCTCTGTGTAGCGCTGGCTGTCCTGGAACTCGCTCTGTAGACCAGGCTGGCCTTGAACTCACAGAGATCCACCTGCCTCTGCCTCCCGAGTGCTGGGATTGAAGGTGTGCGCCACTAACTGAGCCATATTTTGTTTGTTTGTTTAAAGCTAGAGTCTCACTCGTCTAGGCTGTCCTGGATCTCACAGAGGTCCCCCTGCCTCTAAAGTGCTGTAATTAATTAAAGTGTATGCGACTACACAGGGCTACAGTTTTTTAAAAAACACTGTGAAATGACTAAATTAAGCTAAATAACGTCACCATAACCATCTGAGGTTTCCTCACTTCCTGTGTCCACAGTCTCTGCTGTCCTCACCTCCTGTTTTCCCCTTGAGAGGCAAACCTGGGACTTGGCGCTCCAGATACACCGGATTTTCTCTCTGGGTTGGCTCTGTGTCCCAGTGGACTCTGTTTGGAGAGTACCAAACAACTGTCCCTAGAGCAAGGACAAGACTCGGTTGCTGAGCGCCACAGTCAGGGCTGCCCGCAAGAGACGAGCTCTGTGGGCCTTCACTCTGTTTAATAGATACCGCTGACATGTCACCATGTCACGTTGACCCCGCCTTCACCTTCACTCCGTTTAACAGATACCGCTGACATGTCACGTTGACCCCGCCTTCACCTTCACTCCGTTTAACAGATACCGCTGACATGTCACGTTGACCCCGCCTTCACCTTCACTCCGTTTAACAGATAACGCTGACAGGTCACGTTGACCCCGCCTTCACCACCTACAACACCCACAAGAGTAAAAGTGTGCCGGAGGTGTTCCTGGAGACCAGACACCGCTGCTACCACAGAGCAGAAAGCGAGTCGCTTTGTCCACCTGCCTCCTCAGGCAACTTAGATCTCTCTCCACATAACCTTAAAGGGTCAGGAAATCTCCCCCAAATATGGAATCTGGGGTCACAAATACATTTCAACAAGCAGACTGCTAACCAGTGTGGGTCTGAGTAACAGGAGCGTGTAGTGGCTAAGGAGCACGTGCGTGCGTACACACACACACGCAGACACACACACACGCGCGTGCGCGCTGGCCTTACTCCCCTTTCACACTGGTGGTTTTCAGCATTCCTGTGCCAGGTCATCCATCCCCCCCCCCTTTTTTAAATGGCTGCCAGTTTAGTCACCCGGCTCCTGGCTGACCTGAGTCGTTTGTCTTCCCCCACAGATAGATAGCTGTGGGAACAGTGTGCCCTATGTCCTTTCCTCTGCAGCTGAGTCTCGGGTCCAAAGAGGTCAAGTAACTCATTAGTGACTCAGACTTCCTCCATGGCCCCAAAGCCCTGCTCGTCTCTGCTCCCAGAGCACTCAAGATCTTTCGGGGACCCAGGAAGAAGTGTGGTGTTGAAGCAGCATGGGAAACCCTGGCCCGAACAAGGCCAAGGTCTCCCGGGAACTCTAACTAGAGCTCTAGAGCTCTAGAAAGCGTGTGCTGTGGCCTTGAAGCTAGCTCATTGGGAATGTGCCTGCCCTGAAAACAAATAGACCTGAGTTCAACCCCCCAGCATCCACATTTGAAAGCGTTTTAATTTGGTGTGAAATTTTCGCTGGGGCGATGGACGTGGTACATCCCTAGAACTCCCCAGTCGCCAGCCTAGCCTAACTGCTGCGTTGTGACTCAGTGAGAGACCCTGTCTCAAAAAACATGGTGAGTGGTTTCTGTAAGAGATCCCCATGGCCAGAGAGTCTGGGAAACAGAACCTTCATTCAGTGGCTGATGGAAGAAGAGGCAGACTCCCTTGGTTAAGCACTGAGCTGAACTCAAGAAAGCCAGTAACAGAGGGAGGACTGATGATCAAAGGCACAAGGCCTAGGCAGAGAGGCACCCAGCTTCCTGCTAGTGACGCGGCCCAGCAGGATGATGAGACTCTGCCAACACGTGTAAGCTTCGTCAGCCCGAGGCCGAGTCCCCTCTCGTGGGCAGCCAGCGGCCGTTGGCAGGGCGTCTTCTCAAAGCAGACCACACGGTGCCACGCCACCTCCCCTCGATGCTAAACCACACACATGGGTTTCAAATGTGCCTTTGGGAAGCCGAGCAAGAGCAGTAGCCAGCTCACGCATGCTCGTGGATGACATGGCTGGTGGCCGGCCCCTTTTGCTGGGTCAATACGGTGTGACTCATTGGTGAATCACGTGCTGATGGCGTCTCTGGAAATAACCTCATGACTCTGAAGACTAGTGACGACTGTTGGTCCTTCCTTCTTGCTGGAGTGTCTTGCAGACTTACCAGCTCTACTGGATGTAGCTTAAGAAAACCCATTTCAGATACAGCTGGCTTGGGGTTGTTTGTTCTTTGTTTTGTTTTGTTTTGTTTTGACACAGGGTATGTCTACGTAGTCCTGGCTGTCCTGGAACTCGCTCTGTAGACCAGGCTGGCCTCAAACTCACAGAGATCCTCCTGCCTCTGCCTCCCGAGTGCTGGGATGAAAGGCGTGCATCATCACGTCTGGCTAAAACTTTTCAAAAGCCAATACATGGTAGAAAAACGGCCAAAGCGAAGAAGGTGGTGGGGTCGGGGGGGGGGGGATGCAGACCTCACGGAGGCTTTTTTAAAAGTTCCATATACACGCTTTATTTCTAGTTTTAAAAAACGACTTAAATTATCGTGACACTATTTACAGGATTAACCACTGCTGTGCGTGAGGTGCTGGAGTGGACCTTGTCCATGCTAGGCAGACAGTGAGCCCAGGAGAGTTGCATACAGGCCCCTCTTGGTGACAGGTTGGGATGACTGGACAACTCATTTCCCACAGCGAAGGGAGGCCCCAGGCCCTCGGCAGCCAGGGCAGCTAACAAGGAAGACGGCATCACGGCCTGGGAGCTGTACTGCCTATAAATGATTGTATGCCTTTTTAGTGTTTAAGAGAAACCTTTTTCCTGAGATATTTTTCTGTGGAATCATTTTAGATACTTGTAGGATCCAGAAACTTCATAAAGAATAAACAGTGTGCCATCTTCCCCTGAAAGGCCTTCCAGAGGCGGGCGGGAGTCCCTAGGGCACTGGTGGTCTCTGCAGAGTCCAGGCCGAATGGCAGCAGCAGCCCGCGTTGTCCTCCTGGGCAAGCAGGGACCGTGCCTGGATCACAGTGTTCTCAGCACATCCTGCTCCTTTTCTGGAGAGGACACGATGGACACAGAGTCCCAAGCATCATCCTTTGGGGAATGGTCCTTGTCCAAGGCTTCTAAGAAGGGCTGGTCTGGGTCCTTTAAATACTAGGAAAAGTTAGGAGGTGAAACAGTATTAACAGCGGTTTCATACATCAGGTCTCTACATGGAGTTGCTATAGTCATATTCAGGTGTAACTATTTTGTTAACCAACACAGTAATATCAACAGCACTACTCTATTGTTACTGCTGTGATGCCGGTGTGTGTGCGCGTGCGTGAGTGTGTGTGTGTATGAGTGTGTGTGTGTGTAGCACTTACTCTATTGTTACTGCTGTGATGCTGGTGTGTGTGAGTGTGAGTGTGTGTGTATGAGTGTGTGTGTGTGTGTAGCACTTACTCTATTGTTACTGCTGTGATGCTGGTGTGTGAGTGTGTGTGTGTAGCACTTACTCTATTGTTACTGCTGTGATGCTGGTGTGTGTGAGTGTGTGTGAGTGTGTGTAGTACTTACTCTATTGTTACTGCTGTGATGCTGGTGTGTGAGTGTGAGTGTGTGTGTGTATGAGTGTGTGTGTGTGTAGCACTTACTCTATTGTTACTGCTGTGATGCTGGTGTGTGTGAGTGTGTGAGTGTGTGTGAGTGTGTGTAGCACTTATTCTATTGTTACTGCTGTGATGCTGGTGTGTGTGAGTGTGTGTGTGTGTATGAGTGTGTGTGTAGCACTTACTCTATTGTTACTGCTGTGATGCTGGTGTGTGTGAGTGTGAGTGTGTGTGTGTGTGTAGCACTTACTCTATTGTTACTGCTGTGATGCTGGTCCCTGACTCCCAGCATGCGCCTGTCTCTTCCCCTCCTGTCGTAGTAACTGTAATGTGACTCAGGGGCAGCCTGCAGTGTACAGCGCCATGCAAGAGGGCCTGGGTTCCATCCCCAGAATTGTAAAAACAACAACACTAAGGGCCAACCGTATTCCTCTGACAAAAGCTGTGAACAGGCACCTCAGAGAAGGCGGGGCTCAGTGTACACATTGTGGGTTATGAACTTTAAAACAGTTAAGAAACGTAACATTATGCAACCAGGTGTTGGTGGTACACGCCTTTAATCCCAGCACTCAGGAGGCAGAGGCAGGCGGATCTATGTGAGTTCGAGACCAGGCTGGTCTGCAAGAAAGAGTTCCAGGACAGCCTCCAAAACAATACAGAGAAACCCTGTCTCGAAAAAACAAAAAAACAAAAAAAAAGTATCATTTGATGGGGCTGACAGGTGTTTGCTGCCAAGCTTGGCCACCCCAGTTTGATCCCTAGGACCCACGTGATCACAGGAGAGACTGGGCTCCTGGAGGTTGTCCTCTGACCTTCACACAGCACACCCGTTAAAATGACAATGTCACACTCAGCCATCACTCAGCTATGACTGTTGTAACCCTTCCTTCCTCTTGCACACAGCCCTGGGGTGCACTGGGGTGGGGTGGGGTCCTCACAGGAAGAGGCCTCACAGCCCCGAACTTTCCCTTTGGTCCTCGGCTATAGACTCAACATTGTCTCCAAGGCTCTGCCAGCAGCTCTGAGAAGTGCCGAAAGATCCCAAAGGCTAACGGCCAGCAGACAGAGGGACAGACACCCCACATGTGACACGCCAGACACAGAAGTGAAACCATTCTCCAGTCTCACGGAACATCAGCGGCCTTGGGCAAAGTGTGGAAAACCTTCCAAAGTTGTACCCGAGACAGGATGGGCTCGGTAAAACCCCAGGGGCTGCCATCAGGACCTGTCATTCCCTGACAGTGTCAACTAAGGAGCCTTTAAACCCATCACCACAGTGCCAAGTGTTCATACAGACTCGGCCGTCTCCCCAAATTCATTATCCTACGTCTGTTCCGTGTGGATGTCCGTGTGGGCAAGTACCCACCTACGGAGGGCAGAGGACAACTTGGGAATCGGGTCTCTCCTGCCATGTGGGTGCTGGGATCACAGGCGAGCTTTTAGCTATGCCATTTAACACTCCAGTCTCTGCTCTCGGGCACCAGAGCCCTCCTGGTCGCTCACTTACGCATCTGCACACTGACCTCCTTTATTTGTCCCGGGATGGTTGGTGGAGCTTGAAACCAGTATTTCACCCGGCCTTGGTATCTGAGGAACAGGAAGAAGCAGGCCCCAGTCAGCACCAGTAGCAATGAAAAGGTCCCCACGGGGATCAGGATGACTTGCAGCCCGGTGGTGTCTGAAAAAAAAAAAAGGCATAATGAGCAAGACACAGACGGCAGCAGCCCTGCTCCCCCTCCCCCTGCCCTGCTCCCCCTCCCCTGCCCTGCTCCCCCTCCCCTGCCCTGCTTGACTGTGTTCACGTGCCAGTAAAACTGACGGGTCCCTCTCCTGCCAGTAAAACTGACGGGTCCCTCTCCTGCCCCTGCCTCGTGCGCTTAAACCAGTCATCTCCATCTCAAAATGCGAACTCTGAAAAGTTATATTCCAAAACAAAAGACTGCCCCATCAGGCGGTGGTGGCGCTCGCCTTTAATCCCAGCACTCGGAAGGCAGAGGCAGGCAGCCTCAGTGAGTTCCAGGCCACCCCGGCCTACAAAGTTCAAGCAGGACTGTCCCACTGGGGACACCTGTCTTGAAAAACAGACCAAAAGAGAAAACAAACCAGACTGTCCCGTCATGATACCACAAGTGGAAAGTTCCACACAAAAAGACCACGTGATGCGTCACCGTTGAAGTACGTGTGTACACCGGGCAGCGAGACGGCTCAGCCTGACAGACAGACAGACAGACAGACAGACAGACAGACAGACAGACAGACAGACAGGCCGGCCGGCCGGCCGGCCGTGTAGTGACAGGACAGAGCTGTCCTCCAACCTCCACTCACACACACAGAGTAAATGAAAGTGTGATAAAAGATCCCCAAGCATCAGTGCACTAAAAACGTTATATAACAGCTCCTTCAGGCTATTTACATAAGGTATCTGTGAAACATAAGGGAATTTTATGTCCTAAGACAACTCATTATGCATGTGCAAATCTGAAACAAGAAAGCCTCAAATCTGACAGACTTCTGGTCCCAGGTGTTTGGGAGGCTACTCAGCCTGGTCGCGGCAGCCCCTTGCTGCTACAGACGCCCGCCTGATCAGACTTCCGGATAAGTACTTCCGGGTGTCCGCTCCTGCCATCCCCCCGTGCCTGAGCTCACTACTCAGGAGAAGCCTTTTTGCACACATGATGGATAAACAGAGGCGTCTTACCGTCTGCTGCTGTTTCGTGGCAAGATACGTTACTTAACGAACGCCCAGGCTGACACATGATTTTGCCTCTCCCAATCAGTTGGGCCTCAATTTGTAGACAGTATACTCTGAATGGCTTCAAGTTACTCAGCACAATGGAGCTCTCCTTGAAAGGGCCTCTCACCTGGGGAGACAGTGCCACACCACACAGGTGAACCAGCCAGCCAGGACCCGGTGGCTTCTAGTTCTCCTCGAACCCGCAGTGAGTACAACTGAACTGTAACAAGACCGCAGGGCCACGAGCGCCCATAAGCCTCATGCAGCCACCAGAACTTAGCAAATTCCAATTTCCACCATGAGAACTTCTGTAAAACTGGTACACTGGGCTGGGGGACGGACACAGTGTGTGTTCGTAATCAATCCCAAGGAGCCGAGTTCAGCAATCGCAAGGTGCTGATCGTCAGCACCCGTGTAAGAATCAGGCATGACGACATCCGGACGCATCCCCAGAATTGGAGGAGCAGGGACAGGCAGATCTCTGTGAGTTCGAGGCTAGTCTGGACTAAGTGAGTTCCAGGACAGCCAGGGCTACACAGAGAAACCCTGTCTCAAACAAAGAGAAAAAGACACAGGTTCAGGGCTCAAGCCCCAGGAGAACCCTGGTGTGTGTCACCTGGAAAGTCCTTCTTCCAAGTCAGAAACCCTAAAGAAAAGACACCCTACACAAAGAAGTGACGTGTTCTTGCCTGTGGGGCTCCTGTTTTTTCCCAGTAATGGACGCGGTACTCAAAAGCCGCTTCCTTCGTCACATTGAAGGGGGGTGAGAAGTGGGTGGTGAGGGAGCCTTTTCCTGGGATCACCAAGATATTTTTCGGAGGCCCAACAGTAACTGAAAAAGAATTACAAATAAGCAAAAGACTCACATGACCGACATATTGACACTCAATATACATACGTTTGTATATGCATACCGTGTATCTATATTCTTCATGCTTATCTACACACGAAGTTACTCTTATATAAGTGATGGGATGTACTCGGGTGCCACCTCTGAAGGTGCTATTCACAGAGGAGCCAACATCCAGGTTGAAGAAAAGCCCCTGCAGACCCCACTGTGGCCCCAAACCAGCCTGACAGGTGCAGCCCTCACTGCATCCCAAAGGCCCTCTGAGCTGCTTTCTAGTAGAACCAAGGAGGGACACGCCTAGTTACAAGGATCTGCACTCCACACGCAACAGGCCTCAGGGGTGTGGCCTCACACAAGGCATCCTAGATCACTGTGGCTGCGACGCGGTTTCTCAGCTGCAAGTCATTTGACCAGCAAAGCTTCCAGAATCACGGCTGGCACCAGAATCCCAGAGAAACAGGACAGAAAATTAAGCCAGAGGTCAGGTTTTCTTTCATTTAGGGTGGGAAAAGATGTGTAAGACTTGAAATCTGCAGAGAGATGGGTGGATCTGTTAAGTACAGTAAGTGAGGGACCCAAACACAGGGGAAAAAAAGACATACTCTCCCTCACATGAAGATCTAGTCTAGTGTTTGTGTTCGTGTGTGTGTGTGTGTGTGTGTGTGTGTGTGTGTGTAGTAAATAAACAGGATTAAGTGTGGTTGTAGCATAACATTTACTCTATCATTTGGGTTTTCTTTTATTGTTAGTTTTTGAGATAAGAGTCTCTGTGTGACTCTGGCCGTCCCAGAACTCACTGTATAAAACAGGTTTACCTCAAACTCACAGAGATCCAGCTGCCTTTGCCTCCTGAGGGCTGGGATTAAAAGTGTGTACCACCCTTATTCCCAGATCACTTTATAAAATATGGCATTTTAATGGTTCTGGATTATTTGGGGAATTTTATTTAGTTAGTTAAATTTATTTACTTAGTTTCATTTTAAATTTTCTATTACATTTTGTGTTGTAATGGTGATAACAATAAAATTTGCTATGCTACCTAGGATCACACCTCTTCAAAAAAAACCAAACACACACACACACTAGCCCAGATGGGCAGTGGAGGCAGAGGCAGGTGGATCTCTGTGACTTCCAGGCCAACCTGGTCTACAGAGTGAGTTCCAGGATGGCCAGGGTGGTTACACAACCCTGTCTTGAAAACAAAACAAAAAAACCTAGCCCAAATAAATAACTATAACTGCTTAATACAGCATCAATTATTTAGACAGTGGTCACATCTCTAATTGTCTTCTACTTGGAATTAGTGCGCATATGAGTGTGCACATGTGTGTGTGTGCATATGTGTGTGCACATGTGTGTGTGTGCATATGTGTGTGTGCACATGTGCCTGTGTGTGTGTGTGTGCCTGTGAAAGCAGGAGGTTGTTACCAGGAGTCATGCTTGATCATTCTGACCCCTTCTTCACTGTTAGCTGGCTTCGTTGGAGCACCCCACCTGGGGACCCCATCTCCACCTTCAGAGGCTGGAATTACAGGCAGAGGCACCCACACACTTGGCGACTGCGTAGGCTTCTCAGGATCTGGACCACTGAGCCAACTCCCCAGTTGCTTGGATTCACTTGTTAGGACACAATAAGCCTCTTTGTGTGTGTACCACCCACAGACCGAGGAAGCTTCGGACATGGCCGGGCTGTGACAGTCACAGCCCCTGGGTTTCTGCTTCCTCTGAGAAACACCGGTTCACTCTGCAGCTCACATTCACGGACACCTCCCGTGACAGGCACTGTCCAGGCTTGAGTGAAAATCTTCCTATCATAAAATCAGTTGTGATGGATGGATCACCCAACACAGGTGGGTGCCCTCTCGGTAAGGTGGCTGGGGGCTGGGGGTCAGTTATAGAGCACATGTCCAGCAGGCATGAGGCCCCTGCTCTCCAGAACCCCAGCAAAGAGAACAGAAGAGGGGCATAACTGTCTTCCAGTAAAACGCTGTTACAGTAACAAGGTGGCCGGCCAAATTTGGAGCCTGGTGTGGCAAATCCCATCCCTTTAGCATCAGCCTCCATGGCCAGTGGTCCCTTGTAACCCGCCAGTTCATCTCTGGTTTATTTAGGATGAGGGCCAGAACCAAGGCCGAGGGCGGGTCCAGCGCTGCCCACCGAAGAGGCCTGTAAGGAAAACCTGGGCACTGCTGAGTGCTTCTTCTGTAAAGATGTATTGACTTCATGTATCTCTGTGTGTGTGTGGGGGGCAGTGCCAAGGATGCCCTGGGGCTGGAGTTTAAGGCAGTTGTGAGCTCCTCAGGGTGGGTGCTGGAGACTGAATTCTAGCCCTCTCTGCCAGAGCCATCTCTAGCCCCTGAAAGGTTTCCTAGCCACATTCTCTCACCATTACAGTAGCGTTGAAACCAAGTCAGGGTGACCCAGTTAGAGGTGCGCTCTCCTTGCTTGGCTCGGACTCTCAAGCTAACGAAGTAAATACCCGAGAAACCCTTGGAGCGGCCTCCTCCGGTGAAGTCACACCTCGTCACCGTGATGTCTGTACAATTTACTTCGGTGAACTTATGCCACGAACCACCAACACTGGGAAAGAAAACAAGATTTCAATCCACTGTTCTTCAGAAATGTTGTTTTCTACAAAATAGTTGCAACTACTCCTTTTGGCGAAGGTCAAGCACAAAACTCTTTACTGAGAATTAACTCATGTGTCACACCTACATAGATGTATTCAACACAGTGGTGTTAGGATGGTCAACTACCACTATGGCTAATTTTTAAAATATGTTGCTATCCCCTGTCCTCTCCCAAGAAAACACCCCACCTGGTATGCATTGTTAGAATTCTCCATTTTTCCTCAGCCTGGTGCCCGGCCATAGGCAACAACTGATGTACTTTCTGTCTCAGCAGGTTCTGTCATTCCTAATAGAACCTTATCTTACTCTGCCTCAACAGGCTCATTCCGAATAGATCCGTTATCATACGGATACCTGTGACAGGTCTGTTCACGATACAGAATGTATCGATTCTTTTTTTTTTTTTAGCTTTGGTTTTTTTTAATTTTTGTGTTTTACTTCTATGTGAATGCATAAAAGCGTGCGTGTATTCCATCCACATGCAGGAGCCCGAGGAGGGCAGAAGGCATTGGAGCTGGAGTTGCATCCAGCTGTCAGCTGCCGTGTGGCGATGGGAAAAGGACACACACACTCATGACTACTGAGCCATCTCTCCAGCCCCGTTATAAGTTCTTTACATTTTACACGTGTGTACGCGCATGTGTCATACATGTGGAAGTCAGAGGACAACTGTGTGGAACAGTTCTCTATTTCGCCATGTGGGTCCCAGGGACTGAACCCAGGCCCTCAGGCTTGGCGGCAACGGCCCTTTCCTGAAAGCGATCTCGCTGGTCCCATGTATCAGTTTTTCATTTCTCCCCTCAACCCTAAACTCTCATCGAATCCATGACATGGTTTATGAATTTGCGGTAGGTCTGCCGGGGTTACACGAGTTTCAGCCCAGTCTACAACACATGGGGAGTCCCTTTCTCCGAAAGTAGGAAGGGGCAGGAAGAAGCAAGAAAAAGAAAGAAAAAAGGAAGACGCCTTTGCATGTGGGAGCACACTTTGTCTACACGTCTGGCAGACATGGTTGTCTATACATCTGTCATTTTGAATGGATGGTCAGGGTTTCCGAGCGAGCACACAGTATCCAGCCCCAGGGTCTCAGAGCTGAGGAAGACAAGGATGTGAACAACAGATGCCCCCCCAGAGGAGACACTCACTCCCCAGAGGAGGCACTCACTCTGCAGAGGAGGCACTCACTCCGCAGAGGAGACACTCACTCCCCACAGGAGACACTCACTCCCCACAGGAGACACTCACTCCCCAGAGGAGACACTCCCCCAGAACAAGCACTTTCTTAAAGACTGGTAACCTCCACCCACCACTCCCAATCCACCAGCTGTTGAACTTTCCACCTCAAAAGATGCAGTCCCTGGTTCACCAGGAACTCAAGCATGCCTGCTGTGCGTGCGTGTGTGCGTGCGTGTGCATACATGCATGCGTGTGTGCGTGTGTGTGATCTTAAAATTGTTTCTCAGAAGAACAGAGTTCTGAGGGAAGGAAACCCTTTCTGCACCGATGATAAAAACAAGATGATTTTGTTTCATTTAGAGGAATAACGAACACCGTTCATCACCAGACCCATCAGGTCAGTCCGTCTAATCGTTATCACTCAGTTGAGTCACCCTGGCTTCTGTGCACTGACTCATTTGTACTTGTGTTTCAGAAATTACCTAACTTTTCCTGTGAGTGTGCTGGTCAGTCTCTAATGGTTAATTTTAACCGCCAACTTGACAGTCTAGACTTTGCTGGGAAGAGTGCCCGAGAGGGTACTGTCTTTACCAGGCCGCCTGTGCACATGATTGTCACACGTGACTGAGTGTGACTGTCCGGCACACTGCAGGAGGCACCGCTCCCTGAGTTTGGGTCCTGGCCTCTGTAAGATGGAGATGTGAGTGAGCGCTAACTGCCTGTATTCATCTCTCTGCTCTTGACTGTGGTGTGGTGTGAGTGGCTTCCCTGCTGTGACAGACAGTAACCTTGAACTACAACAAACCCATTTCCCCCACATTGCTTTTTTTTTAAGATTTTATTTACTTATTATGAATACAACATCCCGCTTCCATGTCTGTCTGCATGCCAGAAGAGGACACTGGATCTCATTACAGATGGCTGTGAGCCATCATGTGGGTGCTGGGAATTGAACTCAGGACCTCTGGAAGAGCAGTCTGTGCTCTTAACCTCTGAGCCATCTCTCCAGCTCCCCATGTTGCTTTTGTCAGAGTATTTTTAACACAGCAACGGAAATAAAACTGGGGCAGCATCAACCCCTGGGCCTTGTGTAAGCCGAACATATGTCCTACCAGCATTAACAGCCCAGGGAACATGCATTCCTCTTTATTTAGCTTATTTACTTTTTTGAGACATAGTGTTGCTGTGAAATCCAGGCTGACTTTGAATTTGCCATTCCTCTGCTCCCAAGTGCAAGCGTTACAGTTACATGGCACCAGACCTGGCTAGAAAACCTGTTTTTAATTATTTTAAATTTGTACATGTATTACTGATTTGCGTCTGTGTGTGTGGATGTCGTGTCATGGCGTGTGGGGGTCAGAAGACAGCCTGCAGTAGTCTAAGTGGGTCCTGCGGACCAAACCTGGCAGCAAGTGTCTACGGGCTGAGCCATCTTGCTAGCCCCTAGAAAACCTTTCTTTTTAAAGCGCCAGTCTTTATGAAAAGGAGTGTTACATTGTAGTTTAATGCTTAGCACCAGGATACAGATTTCATGTATCAAGTTCTAGTTTCTTTTTTGTTTCTTTCTTTCATCTTCCCCCCTACTCCCTTCCCCCACACACAGAGTTTCTCTTTGTAGCCCTGGCTATCCTGAAACTCACTTTATAGACTAGGCTGGCCTCAAACTCACAGAGATCCACCGGCCTCAGCCTCCTGAGTGCTGGGATTAAAGGCATGTGCCACCACTGCCTGGCTCAAATTCTAGTTTCCTAACACAGCCCCTCAGTGTCCTGATCTTAGAGAAGACTCAGGCCAGCAGATGGCTCGGAGGAGGAAGGTGTTTGCTGCCAGCCCCATGACTGGAGTCCAAGCCCCAGCATCCTCGTGGTGGGGAGGAGAACCAACTCCAGCACGCTGTGCGCTGACTTCCACACATGGGTTGTGGCATCCGCGCCTCCCCAGTGCACATGACAAGTAAATACTAAGAAATCTGTGTTTACGTGTGTGTGCATGTATATATTCTTCTCTTTTTAAGGAGAAGGCTCAACTGTCCTATCTGCTTCCTGGATTATGGGGCAGACTAAGCTCTCCCGCAAGGAGCCACCACTCAGTAAGGACCATACAAACGTTTGTCAGGACTTAGCCAGCACCCACCCTCTTCCTCATTTCACTCGTGTGAGGACGCCCCTCCCTTGCTGAGCCGTCTCTCCACTTTCAGGGCTGAGGGCTGGAAGTGAGGTGATGGGAACCGGAAGTGCCTGTGGATGCTTCCTCCTGAGAAGACACCGGGGTCTGACCAATGCTTAGCTACCCTTGTTTTCTCTCTGGCCCTGTCCACACAAGCTGAAGCTCTGTCCCCATATGCCCAGGCTAGGCTGTAGGCATGCATGTTCACTATGCATGGAGAACAGTGGGTTCCACAGCTCCTCTGGGTGTCCTGCAAAGATGCTTGAACATCGAGAAGAGACAGCAGACATTCCGAGGTGAGCCAGGCAGCAAGCTGTGACCAGGCTTCCAAGACCACCAGAGGACAACATGCTTTTTGCTTGGTTGCAGCAAAACCCTCCAGGTTCTATAATGTTGGCTACTAATGGTTGTTTTTGTTTGAAAGATTAAACACTACAGCCACACAGCCTGGAGGATGCTATCTATGTCCTACTGCTTAAACTTTAAAATCTCCACCGTGCTTCCTGTAGATTTGGCTTGTGACTGTCATAAAAGCAACCAATGTTTCTTTTTATTTTACTGAAACCAACCTTAGCCCCTGATGAAAGGCTATAAAATGCTTACCAAAGGGAGAGGAAGGAAGGGGCTGGGGAGTGGCTGCCGTGAAGCTGACAGCCCATGGACCTGGGTTCAGACCCCGAGTACCCAAGCCAACCTGTGAAACAGTGCAGTGGGGAGAGAGACAGGCGGATCCCCGGTCAGCCCGGTCAGCCCATCTAGCTGAGCCGGAGAGCTCCAGGTTCAGTGACTGAGAGGCTCTCCCTGGAAAGAGGAGGAGCAAGACTAAGGCAGGTATGCGGACATTGTCTCTGGCCTCCATATGCTCGCTCACACACTCGCACACACACACACACACACACACACACACACACACACTACAAACAAACAAACAAAAACCTAGAGCCAAACAAGCTAATCTAGAATGCGAGGCTCCATGGAAACCTTCTAAGAAAGCTCAGTAAGCCAAGCTCAGGGGCGCAGGCCTAGAATCTCAGTTGCTGGAGAGGCTGAGGCAGGAGGGTCTCTAGCTCCAGGGCCACATGAGTGACACAGGAATGCTTGTCTCAAAACAAACGAACAGGTTTGTTTATTTCATACGTGCCCAGTGATTTCACCGCCATCTTCAATGAGCTCATGTGACAAAACAAACCATTTAACGGAGCCCACTCTTCCAGTGCACAGCTCTTAAGCTGCATTCACGCGGAAGCCAGCAGTGGAGAAACACAGACAGGAGGCCAGCAGCAGAACAAAGGGCGAGAATAACACATCATTCAGAACGGAAAACCAGGTGAGAAACCGAGACCTCATTGTAGTCTGCTGGATAAATTCCTTAGTAGGCTAAATTTGGACTTTGAGGTTTTAAACCTGAGAGCCGTCCCTTCCCTTCCCCAGGCAGCGGTCTGTTCTGACTGAACAGAACAAAGGATTAACGTTCCCCACTAAAGGAGGTTCCATAGTGGCCTTGATCTCTGACAGCCAAACTTGCTTGGATGGCCTCCAGTGGGTGGAAGGTTGCTCTTCCGGCAGCTCGGAGCTTTTAAATGAACAAGAGAAATACAATACCCGCCACCCCCAGGCCCCTCCACAGTCCTGCAGACCCCGGAGTTCCCTGTGACTCCCCGCCAGGTCCCAGCAAGGATACCCACAGAACAGCCACTTACTATTTGAACTCCACCTGGTAGACCACTGGTCTTGTGTCGTTGCTGGGGGGTGAAGGCTCCCAACTTAGAATCTGCTCGTTATTGTACAGGTGAAGTTTCAGGTGCTGAGGTGCAGCAAGCTGGGAAAAAGAGTCTTGAGAGGAACGGGGGGGGGGCAAACAGGGAAGGGGAGGGGGAGAGAAGGGAAGATCTCATGAGAGAATGCTCAGTTACAACACCTTCCAGGGCATGTTATCACAGCCAGCACAACAGCTCTTGTCACAGTTGAGGATGGGAGACGCTGCTGTCCCTCTGGATCTGACTGTGAGGGTGACACTGTGCACAGTGTGAGGAGTGTTTGAGGCCACCCTCCCCCTGCAGGCTCCAGCTGCTGGAGCAGGTGGTGGGATCCCAGATCTACCGCTGGTGACTGGACTTGACTCCAAGCTGCCCAAGCCTCCATTTTTCTACAGGAATAACCCCAAGCCTAACCAATGACAAGTGAGGCTCTCCATAGAGTCTGCCACTGGGGATCTAACAGCGCAGGCAGGGTACCAAGGTAACCCTGCATGTATGTGGGGATGCGGACACCCCAAATCAGGCAGGCAACTCCCCAAGGCACGTGTCATCATCCGCTCCTCCCAGACCTCGGCACTCATCACGGAGATGCAGGATGGTGTGCCGAATCCCAGGCTCCATGCCACAGATGAGGAGTGGACACTTTCAACTCGCCTCCCAGCTTTGGGGCCCACAAAAGAGCGCATCCCCTCCAGGCAGCAGACACCCCCTCTCGGGGTGACCTGCAATAAACCAATTCCAACCCATCCAGTCAGACAGATGCTCTGTCTGCAGGCTAGAGACTGAGGACACTGCAACCTTCCCTCTAAAGAGAAATCGAGAGAACACTTTCTCTGATCGAAAGATTAGTGAGAAATCTTCAGAAGGCGGAAAGAAAAACACGCTGCTCCAGAATTCAAAGCAGGAAACTCAAACCACATGTTTTCCGAAAGCACTTCCCAAGCGAGCCTGAAGAAGGCTGCGGAGGAGTGCCCCCCCCCCCCGCCACCCCACTCACCACCCCCCACCCCCGCCACCAGGCTGCAGCCTGTGTAGCCACAGAGTGCCCAGTGCCTCCACCTCTGCAAGCGGCGCTCACCCTAGTTCTTCCAACATTGCTGCCCATCCACAGGGCACCACAGGAAAACCTCCAGAGTCGGCCAGGCGAGCTGTGTGGCAGAAGACCGATCCACCGTTCAGCTCCCTGAGCAGTGGTCTGTCTGTGGGGCACCCATGGCTGAGGGCTTGGCCAAAGCCAGACGCCCATCAAGGAATCTCAGAGACGTGCTCTGCCTGCCTGCATAGGGGTTCCGTCGCTGCTGTAGCACGGGCTTTTAGCAACCCAGATGACACCTAGCATTTAATCACATGCGTCACTTTCCGTCATTCTGGAGGGTAGAGGTTTGAATCAGGCCCGGATGGAGGTGGCCCTGTTCCTTCTGGAGTTGCCAAGAGAAAAGCCAGCTTCCTCCCCTCCTCAAGCTCTAGAAGCTACCTGCATTCTTTGGCTCGGGGACCCTTCCTCTGGCGATGCTGGGACAAGTCAATCTTGCGTTACCCCCTCTCTGCTCTCTCCCAGGACCTGAGTTTGTGTAGCTGAGAATCCAGGATCATCTCCCACTTCTGGACCTTCAGCTCAGTCATGCCTGGAAGGTTCCTTTAGTCAGGTCAGGCCGCGCATTCCCATGGTCCAGGAGTTAGTGCCTGGATCTATTCAAACACACCAGCCTGCCCGCCACACCTCCTTCACCATCTCTCATATGGTTGGAGGAGCCAGAGGACTATTGTCCCCCTCGCCTGGGACGGGATCTTCCCAATCTAAACACCCATCTAAGAAAAGGAGCACCAAGCGCCCCAGTTACGGAGAGCCTTACGCTACCCGTACGTGGGAGAGCAAAGACAGCCTCTTCTCAGGCACCAAAGGAACTCAGGACAAATGGCTAACTGTCCCATCCCAGAGTGTCTGCTGGCCTCCAGGCCCACTCAGGCCACGTGGTGGCTCTGCTCAGCTCTTCTCACCCCACCCCTACTTCTCCAGCTCATGGGCTCCCCTCCCCCCAGCTCCTCATTCCTATAGAGCCTGCCATTTTGGCATGTGCTCTCTTAGTCTCTTCTCATTGCCGGTCCCATGCTGGCCGTGTTTAGTGTACTGCTTTCTCCCCGCTCTGGACTCTCCCAGACGACGCCTCTGGCTGTTCTCTCCCTCAATCTACAACAAGCACTTTCCCCGTACACTTGTCAGGGCTGGGGGTGGATCAGTGGCACAGCCCTTGCCTAGCAATGCCCCGGGTGTGATGTCCAGCACTCAAAAAAAAAAAAAAAAAAAAAAACCACCAACAAAATGATATCCGCCGGCAGGAGGAGTTTTCAGACCGGGTCTGCGGAGGGCCGCCCAGCACAGCCTTGTCTCCACTAGGAGCTCCTCGGGAATCCTGACCTTGTTATATTCACTGAAGAAAATGAGTCTCGGGACTGTGGGCCCCACCGGGAACTGCCAGAGATCTATCCCCACACCATAAATCACGTCACGAACCCTGTCCTGAAGGGCCCATCCTTGAACGTCCCTGTCTCCACAGCCCTCTGTGTTCCCAGGAAACACTCTGCACACTGTACTCAGGACCCAGCTTGCTGTCCCCTGGCCGTCAAGCCGCCTCCTTGTCCGCTCAGCTGCTGCCTGGGCAGAGTTGCCCTGTAACATGCCCAGAGCCTGGGGTAAACCTGCAAACCTGCCTGTAGTTCTTACTGCGATCTCCCCCTGCCCCCAAAGCACAATTCACACCCGAGCCCTTCATGCCAGGGCGGTCAGAAGCACAGGCTCCTCTGCCATTGTCTTAGGCTGGTCTTGAACTCAGAGACCTGCCTCTGCCTCCCTCCCGAGGGCTGCATTGATGTGCAGGTGTCTGCAGTCCCCTCTCAACCCTGAGCATGAACTTGGAAGTGAGGTGTTGCTGGGCTTGGGGGTGCTTTCTCCCAGAACAGCAGGCACGGAGATGTGGGTGAGCGTGGCCCCCTTCCACTTGGAACCCACGCGAGGCCAGACTATCCCGTTTGCTGTGTGTCTGAGAAAGGCTGTCATTAGCCTCTGGAGTGGGCAGGCAGAACCCCAACCGAGCTAGCCTATTCTTAAGTATATACGAAGTCTCAAGTGTCTGGATCCCAGGCACACCTCGCAGGGGTGGGGCAGGGAGACAGGATGGAAGGACCTGTGGACGAGGTGCAGAGGGCACGCTCTTGCTGACCCCACCCTGATTATCTCTTACCACAGTGCCTCACGACAGGGCAGGCGCATTGGGAAGCTCTGCTCACCCTCCTAGGGCCTGGGAGCTTTGCCAGGTAGGAGCTTCAGTGTCTTTGGAACCCTGGTGTCCACCCATGGGGACATATGTTCGTTGTTGCTGCAACAAATGACCACCAACTTGGCGACTTGAAACAATAAACATTATCTGACAATTCTGCGTGTCAGAGTGTGGCAGGTGTTTCAAGGGCAAAGGTCATGGTCCTAGGAGCCACAATTGGAAGAATCAGTTCCCTGCCCCTGGCTAGACTCTGCTGAAATAGTCTCCCGTGTGCTTATATCAGACACAACACAGATGCGCCAAAAGAGTCTCCCTGTTTTAAGATCATGTGTCTAGGGGCCTGCCACTTTTCACGTAACCGGAGTTACAGGACACAGCAGTCTCGGGGAAGGAAGCATGCTAATGTGGCCGTGACAGACAGAGCCGGGAACACTGTGCCAGCCCAAGGCCACCTAGCGTTGGTCACTGCCAGCGTGTCTTAGGAACCAGGAGCCAGCCTATTCTTAAAATCTTAAAAATGACATCATTAATTAGTGTGTGTGTGTGTGTGTGTGTGTGTGTGAGAGAGAGAGAGAGAGAGAGAGAGAGAGAGAGGGAGGGAGGGAGGGAGGGAGGAAGAGAGGGAGGGAGGGAGAGAGAGAGGGGAGAGGGAGGGGGAGAGAGAGAGAGGGGAGAGGGAGGGAGAGAGAGAGAGAGAGAGAGAGAGAGAGAGAGAGAGAGAGAGAGAGAGAGAGAGAGAGAGAACACAGCTTGTGGAAGTCAGCTCTCCTGCTACCATGTAGGTCCTGGATATCACACTAAAGTCACCAGGCTGGGCAGCAAGCAGCTATGTCACCATATAAAACATGACATCTTAAACCTGAAAATAATCTTTAAAACAATGCCCAAATGCTGTCTGGTTTTGGCTTTCACTTATTTTTTTTTAAGATTTATTTGTTATTTATGTGTAGGTGAGGTGCCTGTGTGTGTACCACATGATTGCAGGTGACCATGGAGGACAGGGGTGTCTGATCCCCTGAACTGGAGGCTGGGAGCTGCCTGACGCGGTGCTGGGAACTGAACCCCAGTCCTCTAGGCAGGAGCTCTTTTTTGGTTCTTTTGCTTTTGTTTTTCAGGACAGGGTTTCTCTGTAGCGTTGAAACCAGTCTGTCCTGGAACTAACTCTGTAGACTGGACTGGCCTCGAACTCACAGAGATCCATCTGTCTCTGCTTCCAGAGTGCAATACCACGGCCAGCCCGGCTTTGCAAGAGCTCTTAACTGCCGAGCCCTCTCTTGAGCTCAGTTTTCACTTACGATCTTAGATTTGCCTCTCACAACTCTTCAGGAAGGAGCTTCATATTGATAAGGAGCGCCAGGCACAGATGGGACCAGCAAATGACCCAGGGAGGCAGGATTCCAGACAGGGCCTTCACCCATTAGCTTTACTCTGCTCCCAGGAAGCCTGTCAGCGCCTCTGAGAGCAAGCAATGAGAGCAATTGTTTGGGGTTGAGATGTCCCCAGCATGTGGCTCCATCACAGGACTATGTGGGCTGACAGTATAGGACCTGACAGGGCGGAGTAGGTCAGCGGAGACTGCTCTTCCAAAGTTGTAGCCGCTCCCTGGTTCTAGTCCTGCCTCTTTGTTGGTTTCACCTGAACCATGACTAATGCCAATGATCTCACCTTAAATGCGACAGGTAAAGAAACAGGAAGTTACTCTTCTTAGTAAATCCCCAACAGCAAGTCTTTTTGCTTGGTAGTTTTTTTTTTAATCCCTAGATAATTTGTGTCTTCCTGTGAGTAAAATACAAAGACTACCTACCTCAAAATAATGGTAAGAGAGAAAATGTGCACAAAACTCAGCAGGTAAACCGGAGCTGGGATTATCATCTATCCAGCTACAAGACTGTTCCAACTGCAGAAATCGTACCCAGACAGGAGATTCCCTAACGCCCATTGGTTTCCAACTGCTTTTAGTTTATCTGGGACTTACTGTCCTTGTCAGTGGAGCCCATGGATAACTAGAATGTTTGGACATTCCTTCAAGCTAGAAGACAATGGCAATGAAATCCTTACACTTCACATGTAATTCCCCCCCCAACACACACACAGAGTACAGAATGTGGAAGTCTTGATTCTTCAGTGCAGCTGATTAAGTAGAGTTTCATGCTGTCCATTATTTTTTGTTTTGTTTTGCTGATCTACAGCAAATGGTTACCACCTAACAAAGCAATAGAGAGTAACCACGGACTGTTTTGGGTTCAGTATTTGTATGCTACCCTTAGACCCACTGGAAGGGTTTGATATTATAAACTTCCCTTTCAAAGCCTTGTTTCTGTGGGATGGAGAGATGGCTCAGCATCTAAGAGGCCTTGCTACTCTAGTAGAGTCCCAGCACCTACATGGCAGCCACAACTATTTATAAGTGGGAGATCTGATGCCCTCTGCAGGCACCACCCACTCACATGCTACACATACACACACACAGGCAAAAGACTCACACAGCATTAAAAAAGCCACTTACGGTTCCTGAAGGGCATTCATAGCCTATGGAACTACCTGCTGGCCACACGACGCTGTGACTAAAAAGTTCCGAGACAAGGTTTCTCTGTGTAGCGCTGGCTGTCCTGGAACTCACTCTGTGGACCAGGCTGGCCTCGAACTCAGAGATCCACCAGTTTCTGTCTCCTAGGTCCTGGGATTAAAGGTGTGTGCCACCACTGCCCTGCAGGGCTGTGTGTGTGTGTGTGTGTGTGTGTGTGTGTGTGTGTGTATGTGTGTTTATATCCCAGTAAGTTTTTTTTCCAAAAAAAAAAGTATGAAAACTTCAAATTGTTACTTGTTAAAAGAGTGGTAGGGAAGTCTACAAGATTTGCACAAATGGCACCCCTTTCAAAACACCTAAGGATCCAGATTGTTGTCAAGGAGCTACAGACCAAAACTTTCGTGGTAATATAATAAAAGTTAATCATTAGGGAAAACAACAGTGCCCTACGAAGTCAGTTGTAAAGTTTCTAAATATGTCTATCAACCTCTGGACTCACAGCAGGTGAAACACAGTTTACAGACACCCTCTGTGGCCCTGAGACCAAGTATCAACACTTGCCACGGCACAACTGGGATAATCACAGGCTCTTCCAAAAGAGACCCAGGGAGGGAGCAGACACAGATTGCTCAAGGCAAAACTGCGGTACATCAGAGTCAGGGTTCAAACCATCCGTAGCCAGCCCGCATCCCTCTGCCCTTAGAGAGAGGGATCTTAGGGCGTGTGAGGAAGGATGCTAACGGAAGGACCAGCCCCGCTGAGCCTCCTTCAAATGGATGTGAACTTCCTCATTCATGAGGTTATTTACCTAGTGGCCAAACTTGTAAATAAATAAACAACAAGCAACAACAAAAGCAGGGCGTCAGCAGTAGGCCAAGCTGGACCGGAAACTTCAGGTCGCTTTTCTCATCCTGAGGTTTTGTTGTTGTTGTTTTTATACAGGCTTGCACGGCGCACTCATTATTTGATATGATCTCTGCATGGGAAAGAACCCAGCAAAAACATAAATGCACGGAGTGTTCTTGGTCAGCGAAGTCTTCTTTCATTGGTTTTGATTGGCCATAAATATAGCCAGGTAGTGTCCGAGGCAGGAGGGTGAGCCTGGGTAAAAGGCTGTGTAGGCGGAGTAGAGCAGGCTGGGATTCGAAAGTCTGGCTCAGCCGGTCCCCTGTCCTCACACACTGGGAGGACAAGGACTCTTCTGCTCCCCAGAAACTGAGTACCAGGGCTTCATAGGCCGCCCAGAGCCAACGTTAGCCCTCACCCTTCGTCTGATCTCCCTGGCACCAAGCAGCCAACCAGGACCGAGACCTCCTCGGGCTTTCCAGCTCCAGACCCGGAATTCCCCGCGGTCCCCGCCACACTCGCCGCAGCCCCCTCCGCTCCCCTCTCCTCCCTCCCTCCCGCCCGCGGACTCCTCGGGGTCGGTCGCCCTCCCGATCGCCGGTGCACGCCCCCACCCCCACCCGGCGCCCGCCCGGTGCAGGCTCCGGGCGGCACCCACGCGTGGACGCGGCACCCGCGGAGGCCTCGGGGACCCGGATCCGGGGCCGCGCTTACCTAGCCGGGGTGCAGCGGCGCCGAGGCCGCCGAGCAGCAGCGGCAGCAGCCACAGCGGCGGAGGCCGCATGGCCCGGGCGGCCCGGGACCGCGGGGTGGACGCCGCTCAGACCCGGACCGCGGCGGCCATGGGGAGGCGAGCGCCCGCCTCTTCCCAGCCGGGGCCGCACAGCCGCCGCGCCCCGCCCGCGTCCCGCCCCCGCCCCGCCCCCGCCCTGCCCGCGGGGACTTTCCCGGGTGTTCCCGGGAACCAGGGTCCCCGCAGCCCTGCGCCCTGCCCGGGTGGCCCCGGGCGCGCCCCGCCAAGCCGATCTCCAGGCGTGGCCAGGGACCTCTGGGAAGCATTCTCCTGGAGAGACGCGGGACGCCCACCCCCACCTCCCCTACTTTCTGACTCCCGCTCCCCAAAACTTGAGAATGTGTCCATTTGTCAAAATTTGAGAATTTGTCCATTTGTTTTGGGTTCTGTTCTCTTTCATGGCCCCAAAGTACTTGCTAACCTCTGAACCCTTTTTAGCGGAGGGTTACTTAGGGCTATAGTAGAGAGGATCCGCTGGGACCTGCTGTCACAGAGGAGGAAGGAAAGCTGGGGGAACTTCGCCCATTGCTTAATGACCTGTGGGTTTGGCCCCAGTGGCTGAGAAGCGCAGGAGGAAGTGACCCCAGAGCGGGGCAGGCACAGGCTCCCAGCCTGAGCTTTCTCAGAGGCAGCCTGTTGGCAGAGAAGCTTGCACGGTCCCATCCTCCAACTCAGCCGCAAGGAAGGGGCAACAGAAGGAGTGGGGTGGGTAGATGGAGACCAAGACTCCAAGAAAAGGGACTTCGGAACCCGGATCCTCTCTAAGAACAGCAACTGCGTGCGCCCAGCCCCTGAATCCTCTATTCCTCTCATTGTTTCTTGAGATGAGGTCTCAGGTAGCCCTGGTTGACTTCAAACGGGGCTGTAGTTGAAGCTGGCTTTGAAGTTCAGATCCCCCTGCCACTTCCTCTCAGGGGTTAGTCGTGGGCCCAGACACTCTCCTTGTGCGCCCATGTAACTCTTTTTATTATTATTATTTTTTTTTTGGTTTTACGAGACAGGGTTTCTCTGTATTGTTTTGGAGGCTGTCGGTCCAGCCCGGCCTCGAACTCACAGAGATCCGCCTGCCTCTGCCTCCGGAGTTCCGGGATTAAAGGCGTGCACCACCACCGCCCAGCGCCCGTGTAACTCTTGAAGTTGGCCTGAGTGCTGGCTGGTTTTGTGTCAACCTGAGACAAGCTGGAGTCGTCAGAGAGGAAGGAGGCTCAGCTGAAGAAATGTCTCCATGAGATCCAGCTGTGAGGCGTTTTCCCAATTAGTGATCCATGGGGGGAGGGCCCAGCCCATGGTGGGTGTGGACACCCTTGGCAGGTGGCCCTGGGTTCCAGAAGAAAGCCCCTGAGGAGCAAGTGGGTAGGCGTGACCTCACTGCTTCTGCTGGTAGATTGTTACATGGCACTGTGGGCAAAATAAGCCCCTTCCCCCTCAAGCTGCTTTTTGGTCATGGTTTTATTGTCACGACAATAAAAACCCTAAGACAGCTTGTTATAAAAATGTGATTAAATACCTAGCGAGAATTTGAACTATGCCTCTAGTATTTTTTGTTTGGTTTTACGAGACAGGGTTTCTCTGTATTGTTTTGGAGGCTGTCGGTCCAGCCCTGCCTCGAGCTCACAGAGATCCGCCTGCCTCTGCCTCCCGAGTGCTGAGATTAAAGGCGAGCACCACCATCGCCCGGCTGCCACTAGTATTTTAAGGCACAAAAATGTACTTACAGGCCAAGTGAAAACAGCAGAGTCTGTCAGGATCCTTTACAACATCCCTTTTGGCAAACGAGAGAAAACCTAACCCACAGGCTGTAGATTATGAATGAGAAGTGTTTTTCTCTCTCCTTCCTGCACCCATGTATGTATACACACACACACACACACACACACACACATACATACATATATATATATATATATATATATATATATATATATATATGACTAGGGGATTAGGCTAAGGGAAGCGGCATGTGTGTCTGCTCTCACCATAGAGAGCTTGTGACCACTGACCCCAGATGTGAAATCTTTGGAGGCCCTGCCACCCCACACCCCGCCTCCCACAGCCCTCTGCAGAGTCTCCCTCCTGAGCTCTTCTCTGCTAAAACTAAGGATTTGTTTTCCCTGCAGAAGTCATAGGCACAGTGCCAAAGGGATTGGCACCCCACGCCTCAAGCATACAGCACCCCAAGTGCAAGTGATCCTCCCCTTGCCCCAAGGCCACTTTGCCAGGGCAAGGCCAACTCAGCGCTGGCTTGAGTTCTGCCCTTCCTGGAGAGCACGTCCTTGGGAGATGGCTCTTCTACTGCCGATAACAGGAGCCCAGGCTTAGGGGCATTTCCTGTAAAAGGTGTATGGCAGGCAGTGTTGGCTTCGTCTTTCCCTCGGTGCACCTGTATAACACCGAGCCGCGTGTTTCCTTTTCTGTGTCTTCTCTTAACTGTGTTCCCAGCTGTTTCTCCCCTTTTGGGGGCACGTTTACTGTGGACACAGTAAAAAAAAAAAAAAAGAAACCTCAGGGTATTTTATTTGCATCTTCCAAGGCCATGAGAGCAAGAGCTGTTCCTGGCTCTGCATGTACACAGTCACATGCTCTTAAAAACATTTATTTATTTATTTATATATATTGTGTGTGTGTGTGTGTGTGTGTGTGTGCCTGTGTGTGCATGGACCACACGCGTGCAGGAACCTGTGAGGTCAGAAGAGACATCACACCCCCTGGAACTGGAGTAGATGGTTGTGAGCTGCCATGTGTTCTGGGAACCGAACCCTGGTCCTCTGCAAAAGCAGCCAGAGATCTTAACCTCTGAGCAGGCTCTCGAGCTCCTGGTCATGTGCTTTTGTGAAATCTGCAAAGTAGGAGATTTTAGCCACTCTGTTACGACCTCTGTGTCTTTCCTCTTTGAGTTTCTTTCTGACACACTTCTCATGGGTTGGGGTGGCTCTGAGAGTCTTGAGAAATGCCATGATGTCTTATAGCATTTACAGATGTAGATCAGGAGCAGCTGTGAAATTAAAAAAAACAAACTTTCTAAGCCAACGATTACAAAAACGAAATTTTAGGGGCTGGAGAGTTGGATCAGTAGTAAGAGCACTGGATGCCCTGGCAGGAGCCCCAAGTCCAACTCTTAGGGGACCCTGCCTCAGTCTCCTGCAACTCCAGCTCCAGGGGTCCCTGCCGGGGAACAACCTTATTGCACACTGTGAACACTTGTTGCTCTCCTTGGCTTAATAAAGGGCTAAATGTCCAGTAGCTGGGCAGGTAGCGGTTAGGTGGGACTTGCGAATGAAAAGGGGGGGATGGAGAGGGGGGAGTCACCAGAGGAAGCAGATGAGCATGCCTTGCTGAAAAAGGGTACCGCCACATGGTAGAGCTGAGATAAGAAACCTGGGTTAGCTTATGTTGTAAGACTAGTTAATAACAAGCCAGTTATTGGCCGGGCATTTATAATTAACAGTAAGTCTGTGTGGTCATTTGTGAACTGGCTGGCAGGACAGAGAAGTCTGCCTGCAGGATCCAACAGCCTCTTTCGGACTCTGGGCCCGGCACTCAAGTTGCACGCCCTTGCTGACAGACACACATGGAAAAACAAAATATTAAAAAAGCAATTTTTTGCTTGTCATGCCAGAGGAAAGACTAGGCTTATTTGTATGTAAATATACATACACGTGAATGTGTTCACATATATAGAGTTCAACACTTGACATTTTACATCACACTTACACATGTCTTGACTAATCGTGAAGTTAAAAGTAGCTTTCTGGACTTATTTAAAAAAGCAAATTGTGATAAATCATGCCACGGAAGGGACTGGATACCTTCCTGTTTCCAGATGATTCTATGCAAGGTCTCCATGGAGGCGAGGATAACATAGTAAAAGAAGTATAAAGCTTGGTGGGAAATCACAGTGTTCCCTTATTTTTCTAGATTTTGTGATGCTAGTGTATTTGGCAGCCTTAAAATGTTAATCTATTGTTTATTTTCTCGTTATAAATTAATACCATTGTGCCCAATTTTATATTCTTTATCGTATATTATTTTATATGAAGAGAGCTCACATACATCGTACAAACTTTAGGCTCACAAAACCTGAATCTGCTCCCCACTTTCCAGAGGCCACTGTCTTCCAGTCGATCTGAAATGTTCCCCTCGCACTAACAGCCTGAGCTCCCCCAAGCAGGCCGGTGAAAGGGACAGAGAGAAGCAGTGACGCGTTTGGGTATGTCGGGCCCCTTGGTGCCCCAGGTTCCGACTCCACTGCACAGATTCCTGCTCCCAGGAGTGGATTTGTATTGTGCTATCTTTGCTAAGCTGTGGCCCCGCTTGCTAGAGTTCCTCTCCGGGACTGAGTCAGACTGGGTGGAGACAGATTGTACACAGGGAATGTGCAGCCGTAATCTGGGGAGGTTGGGCTGTGGGTGAAACCTTGTGCCTGTGGACGCCTTGGACAGTAAGAATGAGCCCCTGCGGGATAGTCCACGACAGCCGCTTCACCCCCTGGGCCAGGCCTGTTTAGTTTTCCCTGTGGCAAAGGGTGCCAGCTTTCCCCGCAGGAGGCCTGGTAGCCGAGAGACACTTGGATTCTAGGCAGTCTTAGGTGTTAGCTTGTCCCGGCTTCCATTTCCTCCTGTTCACTTCCTTCCAATTTCCTGCCAAAGTGCTTCACCCTCAGACATTGGAAAGACAACGCCGCATAGACTGTGGCCCCCCTATAATGGTATCGGATCAAACCTTTATAATATGCTCCCTACATACTCGTGGTGCCTAACCTCTGCTGCTGCTGTTCACCCTGCCATTCATTCATCCCAGGCCCCCGAGCGCGCTCTCTGCTCATCGCTGATCTCTGCCGGTGAGTCTCAGAGGCTGTGTTTCTTGAAGGTCACCCGGGCCGGCTTCTCTGCTTCTGCTGCCGTGGATTTACCAGTTTGTCCCTCTTCCTGTCTTCCCCTGGCCCCCTGTTTCCATGCCCACGATCTAAATTCTGGTCTGGGCTTCTGCTCCCAGGAAACTTTGGTCCCCCACTGCTTGGGACCACTTTGTTGGTGTCTACAGGGTGACCCACCGACTTCTGTGTGTGTTTGCGGTTGAGCGCCCTCTGTGGATATAAACTGAGCCTCATGTTTGAGTCCAACCCAAAGCAGGACCCCGATGACCCCTGGGTGAATGAAGGCTTGGTTTGTTGCTGGCAACCTGTTTTTTCAGGTTCAGGCTCAGGGACATTGGCACAGAAGCCAGTGACCTCTGCAGTTCCAACTTCCTTAAGGAACGGCTTGTTTTTGTTCACGGTTTCAGAGAGTTTGGGTCCATCACAGCAGGGACAGCTCAGCAGCAGGAGTGTGGAGTGGAGGCTGTCACGGAGGACCTGAGAGCAAGGAAGGAACCAGGGACAGGTGAAACCTTCCAACACCCAACCCTGGGGAGCCACTTCTGCCAGCGAGGCCCTGTCTCCCAAAGGTTCCTTGGCTCCTGAATTAGCGCCACCATCTGGTGGCCAAGTTTAAAGCATGAGCGTGCAGCGGGAAAGCTCAGATTCAAATGAAACCTGCAGGGAAGAGCAAATTCCCTCCTGTCGGTCTCCGGGCAGTTTTCTTGCTGGAGTTCTCAGTGGAAGACCTGAGGTTTGGCTTGCTTGGGCTCTCAGGAGAGGACGTGTGCCATGAAATCTCTTGGTTTTGTTGGTTCGGAGAACTTCAGATTCATCTGAATTCTAGGAAGATTAAGATGGTGTGTGTGTGTGTGTGTAAAATATGAGATCCTGTAATGTTCCAGGAAGAGCCTGGCAGTTAAGCACATTAGAGCCGTTGTTCCGGACAGACTCCAGGCTCCGTGCAGTGTGGGTTACTGTAAGTCACAGAGAAGAGCAGGGGGGCGGCAGACTGACCAGCCTGAGTCACTGCGGGTGCCACCCGCAGATCTGGAGTGACAAATGGTTCCATTCTCTCAGTCCTGTGTTGAGACCTTACTCCGCTGAGTCTCACTCAAAGCTATGATGGAAAGCAGGGCCTGTGGGTCTTCCTTTCGAACTGTCCTGAGTCTTCTGTCTGGGGGAGTTTTCAGTCTTTTTCTTTTCTTTTTTTTCTTTTTTTGGTTTTTTCGAGACAGGATTTCTCTGTATTGTTTTGGAGGCTGTCGGTCCAGCCCAGCCTCGAACTCACAGAGATCCGCCTGCCTCTGCCTCCCAAGTGCTGGGATTAAAGGCGTGCGCCACTACCGCCCGGCCAGGGAGTTTTCAGTCTTATGAATACTGTGTCCATCAGGAAAATTCAGGTTCCCAGCCCCCTCTTGCATATAGCACAGTCGTTTTATTCAGTTGTGTCAATTTCATCTTCCATGGGAGTGACTCTACACTGCATGTCTTCACTGGCCCCACGACATACCAAAAAAACCCACTTCCAGTAACTACCTGGCCCACCTCATAGATGCCTGATTCTTCAACAGTTATTCTCTTTTTAAATTATTTTATTTTACATGTCTGAGTGTTTTGCCTGCATGTGTGTCTGTGGACTATGTGCAGGCCTGGTGCCTACTGAGCTCAGAAGAGGCCATCAGATCCATGGCTGTGAGCTGCCCAAGTGGGTTCTTGGCATCAAACCAAGGTTCTTTGCAAGAGCATCCAGTGCCCTTAACTGCTGAGCCATTTCTTCAGCCCTCTTCAACAATTTTTCACCAACCCCATAAAAAACCAAGAGTTTCACCTTATCTACTCTACTGGCTAAAGATGATCATCCCAGCTCTCTTTGCAAACATCCATTCAGATCCTTTCTAGTATTGCCCATACCTGGACCGTTGCGACGCCCTTTGTTTTAAGAATATATATTTGGCCCTAACCTGGCAGGGAGACCCCATGGCTATGAAGGTGATCTTCCAGGGCAAGCCTTATCCATTGTGCACAAGATGTGTTGACCCCTCTGACACTCCCAAATGGGGGAAACTGGGCTGCATGCTTTGTGGTAGTGGGGGTGGCATTTGGCCTCTTCAAGAAGTGCTAAGAAATCGAAAAAGCATTTAAATCTTCCCCCCCAGATGCATGCTTTGACATGACTACTGTTACTGTGTTCTTGAGGGATGCGTCTGCACCTGTTGTGGAGTATTTGTTTAACCAGGCGAAGATGTGTTGCATTTATTCAAGCTGCGTTTGTTAGCTATGTAAAGGTGTGTTGCATTTTCCTTAATTAAATAAAATTAACCTGGACGCAACGAGGTGGGCTTAGCAACTGGTTGACAGGAAGTAGCAGGGAGGGGCTTAGCATGGTTTTTTAAAAAATTTTTTAGTTGGGGTATTGTGGAAGGGAGTGGCTTCTCCGGACTCCAGTGAAGAGAGAAAGTTAGCCAGTTGCTACTCTAACTCTCTGAGCTCACAGGTTTTCACCCTAGCCTTTGAATCTGAGTTTTATTGGAGTGGTAGAGATTTAGTTAAGTCAACTTTTAGTGGCAGCAACAGAGCCATTATCTGGGGGGAACAGAACTCCCCCCAGGCTATGGCCTTAGCGACTGGGCCTTAGTATTATATAAGTCGCAGTCCCTGTAACAAGGTAAAACAGCCTGAACCTCTGTGACTCTTGCTTCCTGTGTCTTGTTTATTTGTTGGCCGAGAGCCTCTCCTGTGTGCATGTGTGTAGATGTGGGTGTGCATTTGTGAGTACATGTGTGGGTTTGTGTGTGTGTGCATACACATGTGTGCGTCTGTGGTATGTGTACATGTGCGCATGTTTGGGACAATTCTTGGGCCTTGAGTGTGCCGATGTGTGAGAATATCCACAGAGCAGAGTTGCTGGGAATGGACAGCCTCCCCCCACCCGTGTCTGATTGCATGTAGCTTGTTTAGGAAGTGGCAGTGGCTGCCTGCGTTGCTCCGACGTAAATGCACTGCATGAGTTGAGTCTAACTCATTTCCTGCTACAACCCCTTGAGAGTTGCCAGTTAGGCTTTCTGGAGGCAGACTGGGTTGCCACATTGAGGCGGGTGTAATCCAAGCCACAAGTAAAAAGACTCGCCCTGAGTACTTCCCAGGAAAGGGAGAGCCTTCCATAGGGCTTTGGGTCCTACTGAGACCCCTCTGGAGGCCTCATTCCTCCCATCGAGAATGCCTGGCATGGCAGGCAGTCAGCCTGGGAGCCCCCAATTCAGGGATGAGTGAACCATGGCCCTCAACAGTGAATACTGTGAGGCCTGACTGGGCCCGTTCAGGAGTCTTCCGTTGGTTCCCTATTGCTGCTGTGACGTGTGGCCACAAACTCAGTAGTTTAGGACAAAAATGGCAGGAATCCCAAGAGTTGGCACAGCTGTAAGGCCTGATGATAGGTTATTGGGGCACGCTATTGAAGTTTCCAGTGAACTCCAGTGTTGTTTCTCTCTGTCTCCACAGCCAGGAACTTCTGCCATGAAGTTTGTCACTACTGGTCTGAAGAAACGGGGCTGACCAGCCTCGGATCTCAACCCTTGAAATTGTGAGCCAACTTGAACTTTCCCTCCTGTGGGCTGATCTGCTTCAGGTGTTTCTCCGCAGCGCAGGAAGCCAGCAAATGTGCTCCCATGTTGGGGGTAGGTCGTAGACAGCTGCAAACTGTTAAGCACCCCACTGCAGAGGTCACTCTGACTGACGGGCGGGCGGCAGAGGGCCACTGTCCCAGCACTTCTCCCCTGGATGGTTCGCTTTCGGTTTGCGGACCGTCCCTCGGCACCCAAACAGCGTCCCTGGCTGCCCACCACGCCGCCTTCCCTGTCTCAACTCTAAAGGCCATGACCTGGCAAGAATATGCATCCCGGGCTGGCACTGATCTCGCTGTTAACTCACTGAAAGTCAGGCTTGACTAAGGAGGGAAGTCCTGGGCGTGTGGCCCAGTGGTAGGGCGTTTGTCTGCTGTGCCCTGGGTTCTCCAGAACTGAGAGGGGGGAAATTAAAACAAAAACAACAGAAAATCTAAGCGGGTGTAGAAGGGTTACACTCTCTTCTGGCCTGGAGACCTAGAGCAAGGGAAGGTGGGAAGGATTTGCTGCACTTCTTAATGAATCCTTGTACAATAATCAGGGAACATGGCTTCATCTTCTTGGCCTCAAGAAGGCAGCGGGGAAACCAACACCTGGGAAAAGCTGGCCAGTCAGGAGGTGTTGGCAGTGAGAGAGTTTATTGAACAGCAGCTCTTCTCTCCTCTCCTCTCCTTTCATTTTTCCTTCCTTCCTTCCTTCCTTGTTTGTTTTCCAAGACAGAGTTTCTCTGTGTAACCGCCCTGGCTGTACTGGAATTTACTTTGTAGATCAGGCTGACCTCGAACTGAGAGACCTGCCTGCCTGTGCCTCCTGAGTGCTGGGATTACAGGTGTGTGCGCCGCCACCGCCTGGTTGGAATAGCAGCTTTCTTTATTGAATCCTTTTAACTGCTCCACTGGTAAGTCCTGGGCATAGTCTCCTTTTGTATAGGCTCCTGCTAGAATTGAGGCTTCTGGGAAAGGTTGAGGGGAGTAGCCCTGACACCCTCTTGGATTAGCTTGGTCAATACCTATGGAAATCAGCTGGACCTTGACCCCCAGAGACAAGAGCAAATTAATGTTGTAACCCATTCCTGTATTTAGAGTTAATTGGAGAGCACTTTGGAACCATGAACACACTATATGGCCATTTGTGCCGTGTGCATGTCCACGGTTTGACGCCTGTGTTTTCAGGAGGAAAAGCACAATTCATGTTTCCATTTGCATGATATTCTAAGTAGTGGGATAAACACAAGATCATCTGTTTCATCCCTTTGACCAGTCAATGTGTCCCACGCAGGACACTGCACTGGTCACTTGTTGCTATTTGGTTATCAAATGGATTGTTGCAGTAAGGGTCATACAGCGAGGTGTCAAGGAACCCTAAGATGTAACCTAACATTACATCACCATGCTACACCAGTCACCTCACCTCAGGTCCCCTTTTAGGCATTACGTCATCTCACCAGGGGAGTAGGTACAGCTCAACAGGGTGTTCTGCGAGCAAAAGACTACACTAGAAGAACGGTCTAGTATGTTGTTATAACTGTGCTGTTTTACCATGTTATTGTTTTGTGGTTTGTTTTATTTTTTTTCTGAGACAGGGTTTCTCTGTGGCTTTGGAGGCTGTCCTAGAACTGGCTCTGTAGACCAGGCTGGTCTTGAACTCACCGAGATCCCCCTGCCTCAGTCTCCTGAGTTCTGGGATTAAAGGCATGCGCCACCACCTCCCAGCATCAATTTTGCTTTTTGAGATAGCCATTTTTAGAAGAGAATGTATTGGTTTACATATATGCATGTATACCCACATGAATGAATGTGCACCACATGGGCTGGGTTTATGTATGTATGTTTGCCCGAATGAATGTATGTGTACCATGTGGGCTGGTTTTCATGTATGTGTGTTTGCCCACATGAATGAATGTGTGTGTACCATGTGGGCTGGGTTGGAATTGTAACTGGGTGTTCCTTATCCAGACTCTGGACAAGCTCTTAGAGTAGGTGACCTCACTGCCAGTAATGGCCCCGGCTAGTTCGCAGTGACACGGCAGAGGTATGTGGTGTGTGAGTCACAGGACCCTGAAGAGTCCTGTCTCTGGGAAGGGGGGAGCCAAGCCCTTGGAAGGGGTGAAGCACAGCACCACAGCACTAGATGAGACACTCGTTAGGATGTAATCAAGGATCAATTTCAGTCCATCATGGTCAAGGATGGCCTGGGAACCCTGTTAGGGACCGCCACAGTGCACTGGCCAGGAGGTGGAGTGGCGGAGTTGAAGAGACAACTCCTAATTAGGAGGAAGCTAAGCTGGTAGCTGAGGACATGGTGGCATGCGCAGGGGCGTCTCCCAGCTGGGGCCAGACGAAGAGACAAAAGAGATTCCCCTAGAATCTAGAGGACTCTACACCGTAACACCCCCTAGGAGTGGCCCTTCTCCTGGACAACTGATGAAGGTGACGGGATCCTAGCTGGGTAAGGTCGCCCTCCTGAAGCAGACCCACTAAGCTAGGGAAAGACTAGATGCATAGGAAGGTGGGGTCATAGCTGAGGATGGCCCAGGGTCCTCTTCAGAACACAGTGTAGGCCACCTGCTATGACACGCTGAAGTACCGGCGAGGTTCCCTTAGTTAGAGCGAATGGCTGTCTAGGATAGGAGGTCGCACTTCTAGGAGTCACATCTGTGGGCTAGCCTCCACTCAGCCCAGGGCAACCTTTCAGTCAGTATGTAATTTGCACCCAACCCCCGTCGGGGAGAGCCTAGATCGCAGAGCAGTGCTGCTCTGTTGTGCGGTTGAAGTGAGAAGACACTTCTATCGGTGGTGAAAGTCCTGCAGACACAGACATGTGGTTAGCACGCCATAACCACACAATATCAAAGGTTCTCTGCTACGTGTGAAAGCAACAGTGACTTCTACGAACTCCAGGGAAGCTTGGCAGGCCTTCCTCGAAGCTTTCTGGTGACACTCAGAGCCTTGTCTAAATCACACCGGTTCCTCTGAGGCCAAAGCTGTGTTCTTTCTCCCGTACACACGGCCTCTCCAGGTGCCAGGAAACCACGGCCTGATAAACAAATCTTGGTATGTTCAAGGGTCACATAGAAGAGCGAGGGAGAGGGCTGGAGAGGCAGCTCAGTGGTTAGAAGAGCACTGGCTGTTCTTCCAGAGGACACAGGTTCACTTACCAGCACCCACGTGGCGGCTCATAACTGTCTGTGGGCACATGCACTGTCTTGTATTGGAACAAGGGTGCCTACATGGTTCTTCAGAATTCTCGCAGCCAGTGCTCAGGACCAGCAAGGCAGCTGGAAAGGGCTGTGCTCCCAGGATCTCCCAACCAAGTTCAGAAACAAAGACAGGTGGACAAGTTATACCAGGGTGAGGCAGAGGAGGAACAAGGCAAACAGATTGGACCGATGTGTGGGCGTGGCTTCTGTGGGCGTGCCTCGGGCAGCCGGCAGTGACTTTAGAGAGGGCGTTACTAAAGCGGCAGCCTGGAAAGTTAAAGGAGGATTAGCCGCTGAGTGGGTGAGCAGAAGCAGAGAAAGGGGTGGGGGTAAAGCCTGGCGGTGAGATCCCAGCATCCTTGCAGGCAGAAGGAAGGTACCACTGAAGGAGGAAATAAAGGCTTTGAGCCTGTCTCCATATGTCATGCTGGGGTTGAGATGTTAATTTCTAAGGCCTTGGCTCTGAGGGTGGCACTGTTGGGGGGTGGTGTCCTTTGGGCCACAGGTCAGGGGAGGTCTTTAGGACATCGGGGGCTGCTCTCAGTAGGAGCTGTATCCCTCCCTCCCTTCTCTTCCCCTTCTCCCAATTTTGGTGTTTTCTTTACTTTTTTTTTTTAAAGGGGGTTTAATAGCTTTTTTTAAAGGTTACTCCCATCTAGGGCTCTGCCTCTCCTCTCCTCCCCTCCTCTCCCCTCCTCTCTCCTCTCCCTTCCCCATTTGCTTTCTTTAGGCTGAAGATGTGGCCACTGGCCCCTGTGTGTACTCTTGGCATAAGAGTTGCTTTTGTCGCAATATTTTATCACAGCCACAGAAATGAAGCTAAGAGCTTATATTGACCTTTTTATCTGCAAGGTTAAAAACAACACCAAGAACAACCTTGTTCTGCAGCTTCTCAGAGCAAGTTGGAGCTTGGATCAAACCTTAAAAAAAATTACCACAGGGAGGGGAAGGGCAGGCTCGGTGTCCAGGCAACTAACATATGCACAAGGGTCTGGGTTCAAGAGTCCCAGGATCACAGAAGAGTAACCAGATAAACGAGATGTGGTCCATCCATGCAATAGAATCGTACTCAGCCATAAAAGGGACAAGGTACTGATACTGAACATGGGTGAACCTACCTGAAAGCCTGAAGGTGCTAGCCACAGAAGTATGGTCCCATTGTCTTAGGGTCCTTTCTATGGCTGTGACAGGGCACCCGAGATAAAAGCAACTGTAAGGGAGACGGTTTACTTGGCTCACAGTTCTGGGTCACAGTCCATTAGAGTGGAGTCAGGGCAGGAACATGAACATCTACCCACACCTGCAGTCAGGAGTAGGAAGAGAATGGATGCATTCTCCTCTTTTATATGGTTCAGGACCCAAACCCAGGAACGGTGTCACCCACCTTTAGGCTGGGTCTTCTCACATCAGTTATTTAAAATAAAAATTTATACTTACAGACAGGAGGTGGTGGCGCACGCCTTTAATCCCAGCACTCGGGAGGCAGAAGCAGAGTCAGGAGGATCTCTGTGAGTTCGAGACCAGCCTGGTCTACAAGAGCTAGTTCCAGGACAGCCTCCAAAGGTACACAGGGATACCTTGTCCTTTGGTGCCAGACATCTGGCACCCTAACCCCTGGCACCCCTAGCCCAGGTCACTCACTGCTTTATGGTAGCAGTTAGGGTGGTCGTCAATCTCATTGTAGAGGAAGGGCAGTTAAGGTAGACTCTCCACTATTGCTTAGATTCTTATTTGGGGTCATCTTTGTGGGTCCCTGGACATTTCCCTAGTGCCAGATTTCTCCTGAAACCTATAATGGCTCCCTCTATTCTGGTATCTCTTTTCTTGCTCTCCTCAACTGATCCCTTATGTCCCGTCTCTCTCTCTCTCTCTGTCTCTGTCTCTGTCTCTGTCTCTGTCTCTGTCTCTGTCTCTCTCTCTCTCTCACACACACACACACACACCCTGCTCCTAATTTGCTCAGGAGATCTCTTTCCCCTCTCCTGGTGTTGATGCATGTCTCTCTCTCTCTCTCTCTCTCTCTCTCTCTCTCTCTCTCTCTCTCTCTCTCTCTCTCTCTACACACACACACACACACACACACATTTAGATTAAGTTTTGTGAATGGAGATAGACATGGATCTATCTGCAGTCTTCTACAAGTCAGCATCCAGTTATGCCAGCACCATTAGTTGAAGATGCTTTCTTTTTCCATTGTATATTTTTAACGTCTTTGTCAAAACTCAAGCTGAAC